TTCGCAAAAGTGACGCGTCCACCCTAAGCATCCTTTCACGCAAGAGTTCTTTGACGACTGGACTCATCTTTAAATTTAATTTCTTAATTCTAATCACCTGTCGAAACGTTAAGGTAGGTCCTGACGTGAACATCAACTTTGGCGCGCACGAAGAGCGTGCGCAATTGTTGTGTGGGTAAATTTGCTCGCTTTCGAAATTTTCTATTCGCAAAATTGACGCGTCCACCCTAAGCATCCTTTCACGCAAGAGTTCTTTGACGACTGGACTCATCTTTAAATTTAATTTCTTAATTCTAATCACCTGTCGAAACGTTAAGGTAGGTCCTGACGCGAACGTCAACTTTGGCGCGCACGAACAGCGTGCGCGACTGTTGTGTGGGTAAATTTTCTCGCTTTCGAAATTTTCTATTCGCAAAAGTGACGTGTCCACCCTAAGCATCCATTCACGCAAGAGTTCTTTGATGACTAGACTCATCTTTAAATTTAATTTCTTAATTCTTTTGGAAAGAATTTATTCATTTCTTACGTGAAATCGAAAAGGATGAACTAGAGAGAGGGAGTCGAGGGAAAAGTAAATTTCTGCCCAATGTCCGAATTTTCCATGGCAGGAGCGACCCCATGGATCAACGGGGCTCCGAGGATCACCTTGGCTCCTGTTCCACGTGGTTGATCCTTCGACCGGTTGTAGGACCCTGCGGATTCCCGCAATGCCGAGCAATTACGCAATTCCGGATCGATGTGGCTCGTGACCAGCTCCCGGAGGAATTTATCGACGTCTACTCTCTCTTGGGAACCTGGGGACTCCTGAATGACGGAACATCCCTGCTCCCAGGATGCGTTCTCGAGCACAGGACTCTGAGAAAAAAAAAACCTGCCTTTTGGGAGGGCGAAAACGCATCCGGTTTCTCCGGAAAACCTCTAACGCGTCAAACTTTTCCAGTAATATTCGACAGACTGTCGAAATAACATAATAAGCTCTTTTTTTTAAATATCACCAGGTATCAGAAGAACTTGCTCGTTGCATGAATACCACGTATAGTCAAACGAAACCCAGAACTTTATTTCTTTTGGTCCGATCCCCTTTGAAAACGCGTTTTTTAACGCCCGGGGTAAATTTACGCCCGGCGGAACGGGCGTAAATTTACACCTGAAAATGACAGCTTTTGATACATAATGCACCATTTTAAATCCACCTCAACGAGATGCGGCAGAAACGCACGGTATGCCCCTGCCTTCGGGTTATGCGCGAAGTTGCGACGGATGTATGTACCATTTCAGGCAGGATTCCGAGCTCTATGGAGAATCTCTAATGAGCAATGTAATTTTACCGACAATTAGTCAATCGCGAAACGATTGAGAATCTCAGTAACTAGTGGAAATTCCCCAGTCCGAGTGAAACGCACAGCGGGAATTATTCCCAGTCCTGGAACGTCGACTTTCGATCGCACCCTCCCCTGGCGTTTTACTCCTCGGAGTAGCTGCACTCGAGTCGCTCCTCTTGTCGCGCTCAAACCCGATTACCGCTCTTAGGGGAATTTCATTCCCTCGCTTAACGGCCCGTTTTCCCCATACATCTTGCCCGGCAAGGTTTTCCCCTAGATGCGAGGCGACGCGAGTTATCCCGACCGAGCGCAGGAAGCTCGATAAAAAATGGAAAATCGCCCCAGGCCGGGCGGCTCGAATTTGCGTGCCTCCAACTTTTCCAATATTTCCACGTCGGCGAGTTACGATCGGCAAATCGCTACACAGGCGAGTAAATATTTCAAACTGTCGCGAGGAGGGCAGAAATTATTCCAGCCCCGACCCGGGCGAATCGGTCAGAAGGGATCAAGATAATTCGGGGACGATTAATTTCCCCCGAGCGATGAATTATCCCTACGCGAGGTGCCCTCTCGCCTCTCGTCGCTATTTGTTCGAAATCCGCGTACACCCTTTATCCGACGTTAATAAATCGCTACCATCGACGGAGCCAGATTTATTCGAAGCTGGTGACCTCGTTACCTCTTAACCCTTTCGGTTTCGAGAAGGGTTGAAGCGGGTACGTTTTTGTCCCTTTCCTTTTTGGGTGTTCTTCCCTATAAACCGCAGTTTTTCTATACTAGATACTTTCTGTAATCAAATGTTAGATTATTTAAAAATAGAAATCAGGTCGGTCATATTGAATTTTGACGTAGCGAGGAAATCCCGTGAAATTCCCAACCTCTATGTGCCATTTTTCACGTTTTCGTTGAAACGTGTACGTGTTCTTTTTTTCATTTTTTTTTTTTTTTAATCGAAATGTCATGGGTCTCGGGACCTTCTTGATAGTTTCCGTATTTACACTGTCGAGTTTCGGTACACCCAGTTTGCCGAAACATTTCATAAACTAGACCTCTTTGACGCCACATTAATATCACCTTTATTTTCAAGCTTCATGTGATAAGGGATTTCGAAGAATGTCCGAGCGTTGCGAAAAGCTCGTCGCTCGTTATCGGCTCCAGCAGTCTTAGGTCAGGATTACGAGGAAAAGAAGTCGGCTAATAACCAGGCGACACCCTGATATGTGCCCCCTCTAGTTGGCGGGGATTTGTCGCGAAACAGGGGGGCCATTAATTGGCTTAATTAAAAAGTTCCGACGAGCTAGGTCAGAGATTAGGCCGGCGAGGCGCGAAACGGCGACTTCGAGCTTTTCGGAGCTTTCGGGAGCCCTGGGATTATTATTCCGATTACGAGCCGTTGCGACTCGCGCCTTTTCTCCCGTGGGATTAGTCGAATTAGCCCTCGCCCCCTATGGAAGTGAACGACCTACTATTGTTCGCGATTCGTCCAAAAACTGTCCGTATAATATCGGAGCGATCGGCCATTGAAATTCCTCGATTTAAGGTGAAGTGAAACACGTCGAGGAACTTGATCAACGTCGATAAAGAAAATTTTTCTAAATGCCTACGTTGCCGACGTTCGTTTTTATATTGACAGCTGTGTCGAATTATATTGTGTATTGTACCAAATGGCATATTCCACCTGTCGTTTTCGTACAATAATTATGAAGAAATCGAAGTAAAACTCCAGAAATCCTCTGGATTCGTGCCTTCTGGGCCCTAATTGACTGCGGAGGGACTCCCTGCGCCATCTGTGATTTCCAGGTCAATTAAATTTTCACTCCGAGACCTCGTATTACCATCGTTTTAGCAAAGAAGCGCATACAACACTTTTTTTGCCTTTATCCCGTTCAAATGCGAGTTTATAGATTACCAGAGTATTCTAAATTATCGTAAAATTGTCCTGACCCTTTCGATTCTCATATCAGAGCCTTCGATAATTATATATCGATCGAAATATGAGAGCTCGACGCCATTTTGGTTCTGGTCTGGAATGAGTTAAAAAATTTGTTTGAAAAATCCAAATTTTGAATGTGTCAGGACAATTCTTAGATGATCAGGAGCGATGTGTCAAAGTTTCGGACAGTTTGGTCTATACCCTTAAAAAAAAGTGTTGTATTCGAAACGACTGATTTGAAGGATGTTTCACTTCACCTTAAATCCGGAAAACAACCCCGACAGCAAAACCCCGCGATAAGAGGACCAAATCGTAGAATATTAAAAAATAATAATAATAAAATAAATAGGAAAGGAAGAGCCAGGTAAAGCGATTTATCCCGAAATTTGGCGATATCGAAATTTTCGCCGCACTCGAGAGATTTGCGTTTCAGGAGAGGAGAGCCTCTCTCTCTCTCCTTTTCTTTCCCTCGGATTCTTAAACGGGGCCAAGGGCCCTTATTGGACTTTCAAACGGCGAGTTTTCTCTGGTGAAACTTCCATCCCGGCTAATGCCGCATTAATTATTTAACCACTCGCAGCTTTCCGTCTCTCTCCCTCTCTTTCGGGTCATCCCCGGTTTCTCCGTTTCCCTCGATCCGCTGGATTTCAAATCCGACGAACGGCGACCCCTCGAGATCGACCGCCATTATCGTCGACGAGTGGAACCCCCTTTTAACCTCGGAATGATTTTCCCCCGATTTTTATTGCGCCACTTCGGCCCCGCCGAGGGAAATATTTATTCCCAACTTCGCGGTTCGCGGAGGCTGGGGGACGCGCCTAAGTCATCCTCGTCTTTCTCCTCTCCGTAAGTGGGATTTTTCATAGACCGGGTCTGGGAAAATGGTATTTATGGCGCGGCTGACTTATGGCGGCCGAGCCCGAGAGCGCGTGTCTTTCGACTCTTCGATTCCCTTTTCTTTTTCCACCCCTACGTCTCTTCTTCAATATTTACTTTTACGAGACAGATCACGCGCATGAGCGCACACGTTGTGTCGCTAGGAGATAAATATATATATCCGATTTAATTTAGAATCTACTTTCCCAGACTTTTTCGTCCTCCAACGATTATTAATGACAATTCGTTCTCCTCTTCTCTAGTTCTCACGTGTAATCACTTTCTATTAAAAATTGAATTATGCCCCGGCTTACATTAATACCAAACCAAATGTTAAACTCTAGGAGTTCAATTTGAACTGCCCTAAGAATGTTTCTCTTAAGGTAAAGTGAAACACGTCGAGGAACTTGATCAACGTCGATAAAGACGATTTTTCTAAATGCNAGTGATGTGTCAAAGTTTTGGACAGTTTGGCCTAATACCCTTAAAAAAAAAGTGTTGTATTCGAATCGACTGATTTGAAGGATGTTTCACTTCACCTTAAGGGGCTATGCAAGTATTTGGATTTTATTTGTGAAAAAAAGAAAAGAAGAAAAATATTACGAAAACGCTAATGTATGTGCCCATAATTATGAAAGTGGTCTAAGTCAAAATTAAAAAAAAAAATGAGTTTATCAGTTATTTCACGCCATATTATTTTAAACGAAATTAATTCAATTTAATTTCGAAACTAAAAATATATGACAGACCACTTTCATAATTATGGGCACATATGACCTAAAGAATTTTTTCATCGGGAGGGAGGATACCAAAGCCTGGACTTACGATCGAGAGGGGTTAGCTTATCACGAAAGGATTCTGATTTCCAGCTCTCGGCTGTCGTGGACGGGATTTATGCCGAGCACGGGCACACCGCGGGTTCGTTCACCAGGTTGGCCAGTGATCGTCTTCTGGTCGGGGGCGGCGCCGACGCCAGGTCTCTTCAGGGTGCCAAGGGGATCAACAACTTCGTGGGATGCCTTCGTAAGGTAGGAATCCGCTTTTGGAAGTTGGCCTTTGCCTCCGTTTCGAAGATTCCCTGTCGAATTTCGAGCCAGGAACTCATCGATGAGGAATGCACCGGCTCATTCCACCCGATGAAGAAGGGCCCAGTTGAGACTTCTGGTTTCGCGGCGATCTTTGACCAAGGAAGGTGCTCTTTCGTCAATCTACCCTGTTAAAGAAATCTATTAGAACTGCAAAAAATTCACAGAATATAAAAAAAAAATATACAGAACTGTATACAATATTCCGAAATTTGGTATACAATTGCGTTGGAGATTTTAATACATAAGTATAGGAATTTCAGGTGTACAAATGCTTAATTTCGAAATTTTACGTGCACTGATGTTTTACCACATACGGACACCCAGTTGTATGCAATTTGTGGGAATATTTCCACTGACTAAAATTCTCGCGGTTTCTCTTGAGAATTTTCAACATTTTTGTGGAAAGTCTCGCATGGAAATGGGGTTCCTCGATGCGCAGTGCACATTTTTCGGATTTTCATTTCGAATGCCGTTGTTTCTTTCTAGGGGAGGAAATGATATTCGGGGGTGTTCGAAATATCGAAGCATCTTTGCCAGGACGAGAAGAGAAGCCGAGCTGATACGCGTAACCGAGGGGATGGAAATTAATAAGGAGAGCCGATTAATATTCGACCTTAAGCCGCCGCTTGAAAAAGCAATTACGCGAAAGTTATGCATTTCTAATATGTTATTTGCCGAGCCCTCGACTCTCGGCAAAGAGCTTTCCCGCGGCGTCGGAGCCTCCACCGCGTGCTTTCATTAAAAGATAAAAGCGGGCCCCGTGTCCCTCTCCTTTTTTCTTTATTCCTTCTCTTTCTTCCCTGAGTCCTGTAATGACGGAAGTTGCAGAGGTCGCGCCTCGAGAGGTCGATTCGCGATTATCGGCTCGCTTGAGGGGACCACTCCACTTTCCGGGATTGCAGGTAATTGGGGGCAAGGATGGAGTGCACCTAGATGCAGGTGCATCGTGCACGCGTCTAGCTTGCAGATGCATAGTCAAGGGGAACACCGCTGAACCGAGTTACCCGACGACGTAACGACGTGTTAACTTCGACGGAGGCGCATCTTAATCGCCTTAAGCGACGTAACAATAACAATTAATCAGCTTAACATGGAGAGGGTGACCTCGTCGAGTCTCGATACCCCTCCGCTGAGAAAAGAATTCTTTCCCTCCAAGGAAATTATTTTTTGGAGTTAGCCCAATCGTTATCTGACGCACTAATAACAAACAATTTCATTCAATAGATCGAATAAAACATTCCACTATATTATCTGTTGCATTTAATCGCATTACAGTTTTAAAGAGACTTGCGAAATATCATCGTTTATTAGAATGAAAGCCAAATATGTCTTTTGAGAAATTATACGTTCTTTATGCCAAAGCCCTGTTATTTCATCCAACTGGGCACCATTCAAAGAAATCATTTCCTTTGAATGAAAGAAATTTCTTTTCTCAGGGTGGGAATACCTCTTGAAGGTAAAAGCTCGATCCTCGAAGAGCTTACGATCTTCTCGCGAAAAGAGTAGGAATTGAATGCCCCTCAAAGATGAAAGGAAGGACATAAAAATCGTTTATAAATTATTATCACGGCCTCGAGAGGATCGCTCCACTTTTCGGAATTGCCAGTACTTGGGTACAAGGGTAGGATGCACATAAATGCAGTTGCATCGTGTACGCGTGCAGCTTGCCGATGCATAGTCTAGCATCGTTGAACCGAGTTATCCGACGACGTGTTAACTTCGACGGTGGCGCATCTTAATCGCCTTAAGCGGCGTAACAATAACAATTAATCTGCTTAACGTGGAGAAGATAGCCTCGCGGAGTTTCGATACTCCTCTAGGAGTATCCCTCTTCGAGGGAGAAGCCCGACCCCCGAAGAGCTTGCAAGGGCCTGGCGAAAAGCGCAGGAATTGAAAACCCCGCGAGTGTCTGGAAAAACAGGCTCAGAAGAATCGCTTACAAATTGTAATTACGGTCTAACGAGGAGTTATTAATTTTTCGCGACGCCCCCGGGAGTTTAATTAACCCCCCGGGGGTGGTATATTATTTTTTTTTTCCTTTTTTTCCGAGATCCCCGAAACGCGTCCCGCCAAATCCCAGCAGGTCGGCCCGAGGTGTGCGGGGGTTAAATCGGCGTGAAAGCTCCTCAGCGTCGAGGCTCGTCCCCTGAAAGCTTCTTATATCAGCAATACTTTGTATGAAACTGAAATTAGAAGGAAAAGAGTTGAACGAAGCTCTAAGAACAGGTAACGAGGTTCTCAAAGCGGTCGAGAGTGGATTCTCGGGCTTTCGGGATTTTATCCGAGAGTGGGTAAAGAACTAACCCTGCTCGCAGGTGGAGTTCACCGCGGAGGGCATCCGAATGGAGCTGATAGAGGCTGCCAGGAGCGGCGCTGCAGGTGCAGCTGCATGGGGGAAGATGGAGTTCCACTGTCGCGAGCCCAGGGCCAGCGACGCCGTCACCTTCACCACGAGGGACTCGCACCTGGTGAGTGACTTTGTACATATGTATATTTATTTAGACACATTTTCATCCTCCAACAACGACTCTCGTTGCTGCAACGTCGGACACCGTCGAGCCGGGGAACTCGGGAATTATCATAGAAGGGAGGTTTATCAAAGAAGGGCCCCTTTATCCTCCCTCCCAGGTCCCAAGTCATATCCCGAAGCCACTCATGGAGTCATCGGAAACCCGTCATTCATGCAAAAATCATATCGAAGTCACTCCGCGGAGATAACGTTCGCTCCCGCGAATCGTGTAAATTTTCGTCGCTTCCCGGTTAGAGGGGAGTGCTGGATAAAATCTGCACCGGGTCGGCCGGGAGGTTTGAGGAACTTTTATCGGCTCCGGGTCGGAAATGGGAGCTAATTCCCTACACACGGTTTATTTACCAGGAAAGAGAGGGAACGGGGCACGGCGGGAGAGCGAGAGGGATGCAGGGGCCAAAGGTAGCCTCATCAATTTCAAAGCCCGGTACACGATACCGCGCACCTTCTCACGGGCCGAGCGATAAATTATGCTCGTGAGAACGCGCCCGTCTAATCTCTGCAGGCCCCGTGGAAGTTCCTATCTGGAATTCGCCTCGTTAATATGCTACTCGCGCGATATACCCCGACCTAGCGATACTCGCCAAGTATCATAGCGGCAGCTTCCTAAGGGCGCGTCGAGTTTTCCTCCAAGCTTTCCTGCCAACCCTCTTCCCCGAGGATTCCCACGAGGCGAGCCGCGGATGAGCGAGCGCGACAGCGTACCGGCAACGGACCGGCAACGGACAAGCAACGAACCGACATCCAACCCCTGCCCTCTCCCCCATAAACGACTTTAACTCTCCGCAGTCCGAGTACCTAAGTTCTTGTAAATATCGATTCAGCCCAAACATACGATCATAAAATATTAAACCGCACACCCACCTCGCGTGTTCAAACAATCCAGTTAACAATTATCCCGCGTTCCTTTCGCCTCTAAAAAGTTGAATGAAGGAATTTCGGCTTTTCCATCCCGTCCCGAGAGGCGTTTCCTCATCGCCTCGGCCCGGTTCACGATTATCGATTCCGAGAGCGAGGCGGGTAGCTCCACGACGGTGCAGTCTATCGAATCGCGATAAATCCCTCGATAAGGGTAGAGGTGATAAATCAAATCGCGACCGTGATACGGGGAGGATTTTCGGCGGACCCCTCCACCGTTTCGTTAATCTTCGGCCGATCGATGCTCTCGGAGGAGGAAAACTCGAGGCACCATTCCGATCGACGCCCGTTATCGTTACGCACTCGATTCGCGCGGCCAACGGTGCGTTTACGCCCGTTAAACGCGTTAACGCGGGGCCGCGCGCTCGCCGGATGCGACGCCGCGACCATAAGCCGGAAGTGGCCCTACGCGATAATCCGGTTTTACCGACCGCGCGAGGGTTCTTCGCCGGCGGCCCGGCTGACAATGAGAGCCGGCCTCGTTGGCGCAATTGTAAGCGCGCGATAACGCCCCCCACCCCCCCCCCCCTTTCGACCCCCTATCCCCGCCAACCGCTGGCTCTTCCCGATGGCCGGCGGTACGGGTGCGAGTACATCGCGTATGCCCGCTTCCGGAATTACCGGACAGAGTTTACCTCTCGGCTCGCTTTGCGCCACTTATTCGCACCGTGTAGGGGCGAAGGCACCGCCGAGGGCCATCCAAAATGAACCGCCATCTATCACCTTCGCCCTCCGTGATATGATCGACTCGCCTCTGATCGGATGGATAACATGTCTCTTGAACATGAAAACTGGGAGAAGTTCATTTTGTATATATAGGGGAGATATTCGAAATTGATACCTCGGTCGGTAGGTGCACCTCGTGATTTCATGGAAAGTTCGTTAAAAATGTTTAAAAAAAGAAATCGCAGAGTTCATCGTTACCGATGGTCGAAGGCGGCACCTCCGTCCCCCTCGCGAGTCGGGGCTCGACTGCTACCTCGCCGTGGCTCGCGCGCCGCCACGTCGGTACCCGGAAGCTCTGCGCGAGGCTTCTGATTGGTCCGCGCCTTCCCCCACTCCTCGCGCGCCGACCAATCGGAGCCGCCGATGGGACTCGCGGCGCTCGCGAGGAGCCCCGCGAGGGCTCGTCGCTCATTCCGAAGAATGCCGCCGCCCAGGTCGGAGGCTCCTCTCGGCGTGATTAGATTCGTAGAACGCGATTTGGGTCACGTACTCGCGGGAATTGGCGGGATTATACGTCTTGTCTCGCAATTAATACCGGCGGAAGGGAAAGTCGCGAGCACGTGGCGCGTCAATTAGGAGTCGCGACGCGTAAGCGCGGCTAATTGGGACCGTCGGTCCGGGGATGCGATTTACGTATACGAAATTCCCCCGGGTATTTTCTGCGGATGAAACGCGCGGTTAGCCCGCCCCTCTCTGTATATGTATATCTCTCTCTTTCCCATTTTTTCCCCGGGTTATGCAAAGAAGGCTCCCCAGGCCCACGGCAGTGGCGCGGAAAAACGGCGAAAAGTCGAGTTAATCCCGGTTAAGTACAAACTACACGCCCGGGCATATTATTACCCGGGAATATGCCGAGTCCGGTGCACTCGTTTCCAGGCACTCCATGTACTCGTCGACCGGGCCCTCCCAATGGCCACGGCTCTAATGCCCTACTCTGCCGAAAAGTATTACGAGCGGAAGTTGCGACCAGGGCGGCCGCTCGATATCCACGCTCTTCTGACATTTTTTCCGCATTTCTACGTATTCTCGTTACACGATGCGCATTAACTAAGGGGGATCGGGTGTAACAGTGACATAAAATAATAAATAAATATTGGCGGCGACAAGCCGAAACCGATAGTCCCTTCTCTTCAATTCTATTTCTGAAACAAGTAATTGCAATGCCTCATTGTCACAATAAATAAAGCATAGTCAGCCTGCGAACTTTGAAATTGACGTCATAAAAATTCTTACGTGAAAAAAATGCCTACAATTCTCATTATCTTGACCTTTTTCGCCATACTTGTTCCAATTGCACCCTTCAACGGGTACAGGGGTAACGAGTGGCATTTTTGGGATAAGCCCCAGAAAAGGAAAAATTCTTACAATTAAACTCAATCTCCAGTCTTTCCCCTCGTACAAACATTACAATAAACTCCCTAAGAGCAAAAAAATACGTTTACTTTCCCTGGGGAAAATTTCGACGAAAGTTGACTCCGAAACAACCCCCAGAGAGAATTTCCACCTTCTGGTTTCTCGAGGGCCGGGGAGGGGAGAAAAATTTCACCGGGAACATGGAGGGTGTACCTCGCGATGAAAACCCGACATGAGCTGCGGTCGCCGGGAGGGGGGATTTATAACGAGGGAAAATCCGCTAATTCGTATTTACGGGCCTTTTTGGACATCCAACCTCGTCGCTTCAGACGTGGATTAGAAGATTAGCGGGCCGACTTAATCGCGATTCATGGCGGTCCTCGAAGGGGAGTTTCCCAGGCTAAGTGGATTCCCGGGGGGTTTGCAAAAATTGGCGCTGGCGTCCGAAAATTACCCCCTTCCCTGAATGTGGGGGTGGGGATCCTCCAGCTAGAGGGATCGATTTCTGGCTCGCGTCCCGAGGGAGAAGCCGGGGAAGAGTCGTCGCTTAGCTCGCGGAACCCGGCATGCTCTAACGAGCAAAACACTGGAATCTCTGGTAATCCAATTAGGCAAAGACGCGCGCGAATCACCGCCGCACCCCCCGAGCCCCCGAGAGGGTGGGAGCGCCCCTATTATTCCTCCCGTCGTTCGGCCGTGTTTCGCGTTCCGTTTTCCGCCTCCGCGGCTTCCTTAGCCCCGCACCTCCCCCCTTTCACCCCCAGGACGGATGCGAGACGCGAGCGAGACCCGACGAAACTACCCGGCGAAACTGGCGGAAATACTTCCCGGCAACTTTGGGATGCCGGGGTGTTGCGATGCTCGGATGAACGCCGGGACGTAGGGAGATTTTATGGATAGGGGGTGCAGGGGGAGAGGAGCTTCGACCCGCGGGTTAAATCGCGAGATTTTGCAAGGCAATGTAATGGAAACTGAGGAAACTGAAGAGAGGGTATCTCGTGGATGAAATGGATTTTCTTCTTTTTTTTTTTGGGTATTTACAATTTTGGAGAGATATGTATTACATGAGGCGGTCGGCCGGGTTTCCACCCCCGCGAAATTACCCCTACGGTCCGCGCCGACCATGAACCGCGACGCGAGGGGCGGTTTATTTCCTGTCGACGCGACGGAAATCGCGGCGGAGGATTCGTAACTTTTTCCCTCCTGCGGGGTAGTTTGACTGTCGGTGGTGGTGGGGGGAGAAAAATTGGACCCGAGGAGTAAAATCCGCAGTTTTTCCCTCGGCATTTTTTCCTTTACGGCCGCTTACTCTCGGGAGATGCGTCGCCGGGGAACAATCCCGGAATTTTTCGCGATCTCTTGAGGGCTCTCTGAATGCCGAAGGAGAGGGACAACGCCGGCATAAAAGAGGGATTTACCGTCCGGGAACGTCCGCAGTTGAATATCCGGACGCTCCGTCCTTTTTAAGGCGGATATCCTGAAAGACGTCCAAACCTCGGTTGCCTTCTGCCTCGGGAACAATCTTGACCTCCTTTCCCACCAAAATTGCGCCATCTTTGTTGCCAATAACAACGCCCGAAATCCGGACCTCGTCGCCTCTGTTTCTATGCGGCCTAAATTTCTCGAAAGAAAATTCCGCCTCTCGTTAAACCGCGTCCAAAATCGCTCATTTCGGGCCGCACTCGTTTCTTGACGTTTCCTCGCCGGGCGTCGAAGTCTCCCGGGATTTGCGCAATTCGGACCACGGGAGGACGGTATAGATTCTTCGCTCCGGCGCCTCCACTTCCGCATGCGGTCGGGCCGCGGAATCGAGCGAATCGTTCGCCGAGGGCGTCGCGACGCTTCTTGCTAATTGAAGAGTTAATTATCGGGGAGCGTCCCTTCGCGTGTCGACGGCCACTTTCCAGCCTGGAGAAAGAAATTCCCGCGGGTCTTCGCGGGGCGCAGAAAAGGGAGAAGGAGGACCAGAAGAAAGGAAAGAAGCGGAAAGGAAAAAGAAGAGGGTAGAGGCGTTCGCCGTAATTCCTACACCGGGCCGGCCGATTCGATCCGACACGCGATTCGTCACAGGTGAAAGTGAGCAAAACAGGAATCGGAAAGAAAGGCTCCTCGAGAAATATTTTTATTGGTCGATAAAATGATTTTCACGTTAATTTTTCCCTCTTTCGCTCTTTTAAGCCTCACTGGGGCGTTTGGTATCGTCATGTTGCTTTTTTCGGGAGCACCACGGTATATGGTGTCTCGCAATAAGGCGTTCCGTTTTTTATCAAGGAGGCGTTATGGCGTGTCTTGTGTTTGATAGGGGGTCCAAGGCGGCCGGGGCATGGGGTCTTGCGATATCCAAACCTCGTGCTTTCCCATATTTATGACTGTCGCCTTACGATGCCGCGGCACGACTTTTACCCTGGACCAGGCCGAGGCTTTTAAGTTCCCCTAGGAGCTTTTCCGCCGCGACGCCATCCTACACCTGTCTTCCCGACGAAAGCCCAGAGCTCTCCTTGCAGAAAGTAGAGCTTTCGCCGGCCCTCTGAATTTTCCGCGATTTTTTCGCCCCCCCATTTCGCCCCCGCGAAGACGGTAACGAGGACAGATCATTAAACGTCTCCGTAACACTCCTTAATCGATAATTGATGAATGTTTTCGTCTCCCAAACCGTACACCGAACGAAATGAATTATTTGAGGCAATCTAAATCATTCTTCCTAAAGGAATTCCTTGGCTCCAGTGAAATTGATTTTCCGGATATCATCAAGCTTGCGAATGGAACGACAATTTCCTATCGAGTGAATACGATTTTGTGGAGAAACATGGAACTCAGATTTCCAAACCCTATAGATAACGGATAACAAAACCTTGGGGAAGATAAACTCAAGAATGTTGGAAAGTCGTTCTTTTTTTCAGTGGCTTAATTTAATCAACCTTAGTACTTATTTTATTGATAACAGTGAATAAAAATTGTTTCGACAATAATATTTTTTTTTGTTTAATAGAAAGTAATCTTTTTGCTCGATGTAGGCGAATTTGACGGCTCGAAGGTCCAGGATTTAAGTAGATCAGTCCACCTTGTTATCGCGAGTCTATTCGAGGAAACGGGGCCATTCGGAGGCCTGGCGATTTAAGCGGAGTAATTAAACGTTTAAATTTTGGCGCGATGCCGGGCGAGCTATCGCGGCCTCAATGCCGTGTCGAAATTCGAAGTCTCATTAGCGAGGAAGAATGGCGAACATCCATTGTCCTGGAACGCGCCCAGGAGGGGAAAATCGCGGGATTTTCGCGGCGGGAGTGTTTTATTAATCGATAACTCATGCGCACTTTTTTTGAGCGGCTGTTAATACCGCGGTGTAAACAGTGCATTTGCATGGCGAATGAGAGGGCCCTGCATTTATCACTCGATGAAACGGAGAGCCATCGATTAATTCAAAGTATCGCGACTCTCCGTTAGAGAGATAGAAACTGCCGCGAGATCATCTTTCACCCTCGCACTCCTCTCGATCTCCTTCGTCTCTTTCTCGCGTTCACCCTTCACAGCGCTCCCTCTCTTTCCCCCTGTATAGAGAATAAGAGATCGTCGACGTCGAGTCGGGAAATTTGCCGTCGAGTCGCGAAAGGTCCTCGAAGGATCGATCGAGGCTCGATCGATAGATCTATCTCGCCGATCCGCATAGACAAGTAGTGACTTAGCCGAGGAAGTCCAGCCTAGGGCTGGATAAAGGAGGAGCTTTCTGATCCTCATCTCACAATGCTGCCTGTGTTACTTGCTATATGATCTTCGGGAATCGTTACCGACGCGCGATGGACGCGGTCGGTAAAGCAGGCACCGTCGGCGATGAGCTCGAGGCGACTGCACGGAGCTGTGGTCACCTTTACCAGCCCCGAGTCCCACCTGGTAAGACTGCACTCTCAGAAAGCTTGACCGGGAGGAAAGTGAGGAGAAGAATGAAATTAAAAAAAATATATATATTGTCAAAAGAGAGAGATGCAACGCTGCTACCCCGGCTAGAACCGCTGATTGGGACGATTCTGCCCGCTCGCGACACACGCACTCGACATGGCTGAAACTCACACAGCTCTCTCTTTCTCTCTTTCTCTCTATACTTCGGCGATGCGTCCGATCTCGCGATGGTCCCCCCGAAAGCGGCGCCGGCTTGTTTCCTCTTTTCGGGTATAATTTGGTACGAAAATCCAAAAAGATTGATGCGTGCACGCTCAATGACTTGGAGGGAAGAAGGAGCCTTTGAACGGTGGTTTAAAAAGAATCTAGGTACATTAACTTTTATCCCGGGTTTATTGGCTCCTTTGTTAGTACTTGGAAGACCGATTTTTCGATGAGACTTTCGAGGGGGCTAACGTGCGTTATCAGTGATGCCGAAGGAGGACCATCGTGCACGCCTCGATGCACGCGTACGCACCGGCGAAGCTGGCTTTTTATTAGAGAGGAGCATAAAGAGCACCGGAACGATCACCGCCACTTTGCGAATGGACATAGGTTAGGTCAGTTCACAAGTGTACGTAGCGTGCACCCGAGCACGCACCTTAGCGTAGGCCGACCCGTGCGCCGCACATTCACGCAATCTAGTAGGTCCCTCACTGGCTCACCGACGAACGGAAACTGCACATGCACGCAAGACCCTCAGAGTTAGGCATTATTTTCTATCCAAACACCAACCACTAAATAAAATATCGATCCAACTCTTCCTTTTACGGTGTTACATAAGGATCATTCCGTATGCATCAAGACGTCGAAATATGTATAAATTTTATTTCCTCCAACTGAGTACACCGAATCGTTTGAAACTGCAATACGCGATTATGGAGGCTCTAAGAAAGATCCTGAAAATTCATTTTTCAAAGAAAATATGTGTTCTGCCTTCTAGACTGGAATGAATAAAAAGATTCTTTCGGAAGAATGAAATTTCATGAACATCGAGGACTTCCTTAGGGCCTTCGTGACTACGTGGTGAAGTGTCAAATGATTCGGTGAAATGTTTGGAGAAATATTTCATACATGGTTTGACGATTTCATATGTACAGAATGACCCTTTCATATGATTGATCGAGAGGGATTTTAATCCGCATATTTTGACGCTGCAGCGACGCCGTGCGGAAAAAATACGATTGTGTGTACCGAGTCTTAATCGCCCGTCTCGTCCCCAAAAGACGCAGCCACCTCGAAAAGTACTAGACGAAATGATCGAAGAAACGAGTCGAAAATGGAACTCGAAGGGTAAAATGACGAGCATGGCGTTGTTCGGCCACGTTATACGAGCGCCGTTACCGCCTCGTAAATATTTATCGCAATCCCTCGGATATGCATTAATGGGAATGCGCGGTGCGGGAAACGCTGAGTTAAACTCTCGAGCGTTGATATTCGTAATGTTTATAACATGGATTACATGATTTTTCCTACGCCGATGGAGGTGTTTACGCGGTTTGCTCGAGAGTGCGTTCCCGTTGGTTGGATAGGTTCCGTTAACGACGAGAAAAAAAGGACGAGGGATGACAGCTGTCAAATTAGCGATCAGCTGATCGCCACGTGCGCGCTGTCCCTGCCAAGCTGAGCACCCGATTGCATGCGGAGTCCGGGGGATATGCACCACGCTTGCATGCGATGCAACTAAGCCTCTCTTGACTTTACAGGGGCAGAAAAAGGGACGATCTCGGGAATTTTTACCCCTTCGAGCACCGATATTTCTCTAACGCATCCCCAGTTGATGGCTTGAAAGACGTTCGGCATATCAAACCAAGAATCGCTTCTCTTGATTTTTAGACTATGAATTACGGTGCCGTAATTTTAATCACTCGGCGCAATAATTTCAAGGACAGGTGCCAGATACACGCTGTAAAATAATTCCCAGCCTTAATAAAAAATCTCACTTCCTTAACAATTTAAATATTTGAAGAGGGACAGCAAAAGATTATTCATCTCAGATTTTTTAAACGGGGTCTAATAAAAGGACTATTACTTATCTAAGGAAATGCAAGTGTTACTCACATTCTTTACCACCGAAGAAAATCTGGATCATTTAATCCAACAGGAACGATAACGATTCTTTGGCAGTTATCGCCATTACATCTGTTCATTTTTCTTGGGTTTTTCGATTTTCTCATTTCTTCCGTATTTTTGCTGCCGATGCAATTATTACTGGAGCCCAATGAACTTTGTCTTTTATTAGGAGGGATGCTATTTTTTTTTTTCGTGTATAAGAGGGAAGGGAGAAAAGCAAGCGGGAGAGAAAGAGAGAGCTTTACGGCTCGCCGGTGCTTTTCTGGGAATCTACTTTGGACTCGAGGGATTTCGACGGCAGTCGCCGCGACGTCGCCTTAAGGTCGCCACCAGACCAGAGGCCACTGGCCGAGTGGCTTTGCGTCGAGAAAGCTCGAGCTTGCGGAGGGGCGGAGATTCCGGGCCGGCATCCCCGGAAGTGCGACACTTTTAACGGGGACCGGCTTTATGGAGGTCCACCTGCGAGCTGCGGTGCGGCCGAGCTTGCGGCTGCCAATCCCAGGAAAAGCTCTGCGCCCGGTTTTGCGGTCACTTCCGGCGGAGGTTGAGGCCGAGATACTTTTTTTTAACGTCTTCATCACGACGTCTTTAAATAAGTGAGAAGCTGAGCTTTACGCGTTTTGAGGTTTTCAAGACAGGAAAGACTTTTTTTTTTTAAATAATTTTTCCTCGCCCTCCATGCCTTTTCCTGAGCTTTGCGTGTCCTCGAGTCGAAATTTCGACCCTACTTTTCTATCTACAATTTTCGTCATTTTTTGGGGGTTTTCACGTATACTGTAGTACGTCGAAAAATAAGAAACATGTATTTTTTTATACACAAAGTTGACTTATCTGAAAACATATTCAAGGATTATTAGAGAATCAAAGTAGGTTAAACAATTCAACGCCAGGCATCGCGTCGTCTTTAGTACTCCGAAGACTTGCAAGAAGTAGAGCTTTTCGATTTTCCGAGGTTACAAGTACAAGAAGAATATTTTTTTAAATAATCGGATTCCGCTATCGACCCCTTTTCTTTCATTGTCCCTACTTGTCTTTCGCGAGTTGAAGTTTTCATCTCATTAGAATCTCTATTTGTAGGTCTTAAATGGGTTTCGAGAGAATCTAAAAAAGGGTAAAATATCTCGAAATTTCGAGGTAATCTAAAATTCGATTACCCTCGCAGAATCGAGGGCCTACTTTAGGCATTAACAGTGGAAGATGTCTCCATTCCTTCTCCTTTAATGCCTGAAATATGACTTAATTCGAATTTAATAGGACGTACAAGATCGAAAGTAGGACATGTAGAGTGAAATAGGACCGCGGAGGTGTAACTTGGATTACGCAGGTTCAAACTGGGGTTAAAAATTCTACTCGGGTTATCTCTCCCAATTCCTCCCTCCCTTTCGAGCGGTCTCCTCCTCGCCGTTCGGGGGCGACGTTTCCCCATTTTCAGGATATCCTCTCGAGCGGGTAACACAATCAGCTTCGTGGCAGGGGAATTCCCGCGGGATGCCAAGCCATCCATACCCGCCATAACGGGATTCGTCCGTTTAACGGGGCCCCCTGCTTCCACCCTCTCCCTATCCGACCAAGGCCGGAAACGAACCCCGGAAGCGTCACCTCTTGACCCCGCGGCGATCCGTTCCCAAAATGTCGGATCCCTTTTGAGCAAACGAAAAGTAACTTCGAAATTAGCTGCGAGCGATCATCGAGACCGAATCGAGCTTGCGGTTTCGGAAAGCTCGCGACGATTGAGGGTCCTCTCAGCCGGACGGAAATGCAAAGACGGCCGACGGTGGTCCAACATGGCCGAAACGAGCGAAGCCCATTTCGGCCATGTTGGACCACCTTCCATGGAGAAGGTGGGTTAATTCGCGGCGGGACGGACGGCGCGGAATCGCCGGCGGATTTCGAACGGGGCTTAATTCCTCTCCCGTCCGCAGAAAGCTCGCGCTCGAGCTGACAGTAACACCGATTCGTCGAGGGATCTCGGGAAATGCGGTTTCCCCCGGAAGCTCCCGTCAAGGAAGATTCGCTCGGGGACGGGGAGGGGCGGCAGGGCTTAGATGCCTCAACCCTGGATTAACAGCCTCGACGGCTCTTCCTAATAACCTTAGCTATTGGCCGGCCTTCTGAGTCACCTGCGAGTTGGGAGGAAACCACGGTACCTCCATTCGATGGGTGGCGGTGGGTGGTGGCGGGTGGAAATGGATGTCGATGGGTGGCGATGGATAGCAGTGGGTGTCGATGCATACTAGGGTATCGGTGGGTGGCAATGGGTGGTGGCGGGTGACAATGGGTGTCGATGGATAACAGTGGGTGGCGGTGGGTGGCAATAGGCGGCGACGGATAGCGATGGATAGAACGGGCAGACTCCTCGGGGGCTTTACGAGACATTGATCGACTCGAGATTCCCTACGAGCGGGATCTGCGAACTCTTTCCACGGAGATGCCTGCCAATTATTGTAAATAAATATTGAACGAAGGGAAGTTGGAAAGAAAGACGCGTGGAAATAATTTCGCCGCTCGAATTCTCTTTTTTTTTCTTTTTTTCTTTTCCGTGGGAAAAGCGGAGAAGACATGGAAACGCAAGTTCCCAGAGATGAAGGGAAGAAGCCTTCCGGGCATCTCAACCAGAGACGCCTGCCAGTTATTATCAATAAATATTTGGGAAGAGACGCCGAGGTTTCCCCGCGTTCTCTAATTTGCGGGGGAATTCGCCCGGAATAAGGAATCGGGGGTGGGAAATTTGCAGAATATTCCGAAGTAATCGACTTCCAGTGGGAGGCGGGCTATCGCTTATGGAAGTATAACGATTCGCGAGCGCCAGTCCAAGGACGGCGCGGAACGGCCGCAGCCTCGATTCGTCGATCCTGAGAGCTGGGTACGAGTTCGGTAACGACGTTTGGCCGGAACCTCCCCGAAGTTTGGCCCCTTAAAACTTGGCACTTCCTAACTGTCGGCACAGTTGTCTTTCCTACGGGCCGCGGAAACGGCGGAGATGCCGTTTCCGCGTTCCGCCGTTCCGCTCGTTTCCGCCCGACAAAGGGCCGACGTCGAGATCGATCACCACTGCTTTCTGCACGGTTTAGCGAAACTTAATATCCGCTCCATCCGCGAGCACCGCCGTTCCCTTCGACGTCTTCCATCCACCTCGACGTACGTTCTTCTCTTAAGAAAAGAATAAACAAATAAGGAAAAAAAAATTATAAATTCGAAAACAGGAAAATTGCCTGAATATCATTTGCTTTAACTATCGCGTAACATTACGGATGAGAAAATTAATAAATAACGAGAAAAAATTTGTTACAAAAATTAAACAATGGAAAAATCGCTCGAACGTTACATTCAAGGTATATTCTTCTCTTAATGAAGAATAAAAAGAATAAACAGAAAGAATCTGAAGAAATTCGAGAACTGAAAAATCGTCAGAATATTTCAGGAAAAAATGGGGAAAAAAATATAAAAAGGGGAATTTGGCAATTATATTCGTAGGGCTTCGCGCTTCTGATAGAAAGCCTCCTTGCCCGGAAAATATCTCTAGGGAATTAGAAAGGGAACGCATCTCCGATTCGTCGGACCAATCCGTACGTGGTCTGCTGACTGCCGTCGGTTTTCGGTCCACGGTTCGCTTCGTGGATTTAACAAGCCCTCCATTCGGCTCCGCGCTGCGGATGAAAGGCTGGCCTCGGAGGTGGTGAGACGAGCGAGACGGAGCGACCAACGGAGAGGATTTCCCGGAGAGGGCGGAAAGAGAAGGACCAGAGCGGACCTGGAAGGAAAGGAGGAGGGAAAGTAGAAAGAGCAAGGGCGAAAGCTGGTCAAAGCCTGGGCTACAAAGAAAATCGCACCGGTCTACTTGGTTGAGCCGGACCAAAGCCCCTTTGCAGCCCCCGCGAACTTACCGCGGGTCCGAGTCGGCCCCACTTCCTTCTCCGGTGTCGACGGGCTCGATTCGTCCCTCTTCGCTCAAACGTAATGCGAGCACTCTCCAAGAGCCGAGGTGAAACGAAATTTCCCAGAGAGCCCTCCAGACGGGACAATCTCGGCCTTTCCGACCTTTCCTCGGCGGAACCCGCCGAGTTCCCTTCGCCCAACCCGGTCGCACTCGGACGCTCATTGGGATTTTCTCGGAAAATAGCGCGTAACTTCGGAAAATACGCCATAAGAAAATTGTCGAGGAGGGTATTACGCGTAGATTTTGTGAGAAAGGTTTTTCCATACAACGCACGAATCGGTCGGAAAATGGAGAGGAAGGAGTGTCGGGCCGGAGGTTCCTACCGCGGGGCCAGGAATCGAGCGGAGGACGTAAGCCTCCCGATTCGCGGAAAAGTTTCTCCGGTTATTCGCCTCTTCATTGGAGAATCTCGAGCTGATTCGTCTCGATTCGTGGAGAGGGAAAATGAGACGAGGGGAGGTTTTATCTCGATGTGGTTCTTCGAGGGAGGCCGCCGCGAGTGGTACGCGGCGACGGGTTAACCGGATAAGAAACTCCGGGATTAGTAAATAATTTATTTCGGAAAGTAATTTAACTTTTCTAATTGACTCTCCCCGTCCCGCGATCGCGGCCGAGGCTCGCGGAGGAGGCGAAAGGGACAGAATAACCGAGGGACCGGAAGAGGCAAAGAACCGGAAGAATCGGAAGTGGCGGAGGAGACCGGAAGTGGAAAAGCCGCGCGAAATGAGCGCCGATGCCACTTTCCCTCCACCCCTGGAGCGGCACTTCGTGGATCGACTTTGGGGCGAAAAAGCCCCAAAGAGGAACAACCGGGAGGCGGGAATGCCCGGAAGAGACGCGAGGGGGAAGGACTTTCTTGCGGGCTGATTAACGAAATTACGCGACGAAGAGCTCGGGATCTCTCCCCTCCTTCCCTCCTTCCCCTTAATTCGTCCCTGGGATGATTTTTCCCGAAAATCTCTTCATCTTCCCCTCTCTTCTTGAATTACGCTTTATGCCTTTCTCTTCGAAATCCCGTCTTGGAAAATGAGAAATTATTGGCGGAAGTGGAGACCCCTCGGGGGTGGAAGGCCGACCTCGACCTCGCGATAACCATAAGGTGTGCCGGGGAATATCACGCCGGCAGATATCAACTCCGGCGGATATGAAGCGACGTTAAGGCGGACGTGACGCGCGGGGGAAGAAGAGCGGAAAAAATGGTCCCCGTTCCCGGAGTTTTCCGCGTAACTTTCCATCAGCGAATTACCGCGACACCGCGACGCTCCAATTACATGGCTATCTCTCTCTTTCTCCCCAGAATGTCATTTTTTTTTCTCTCTCTCTCGCCAGCGTATCTTCGCGCTCGTGCGGCCATTCCGCGCGGCAAGGAGCGATCCGCGGAGGAACCGAGAGCGAGACCGCGCGACGCGCTCTCCGGATCTCGAGATTTCGAGGGAAATTTCCGCGGCCATTTTCACGGCGGAACGGGAAAGTGGGTCGGGGAACCGGCGTGCGGAAGCGCCGCCGGCGGAGTGCGGAAAGCTCGACGGAAACGACGCGGCGCGGGCGCGCGGGTTCCCCGCCAGGACGCAATATTCCGCGGAAAGTTTACAGCGCTCGACGGCGATCGTAAAACCGCAGGAGCGGTATGAAGGACGCGGCCGTTCCGCGGCGGACGGCGGTAGATAACGCGCCTTATGCTCGCGGAGAGGATTAAACGCCGCCACTTCCGAGCTCCCCGGAAACCGCAGCCGACTAAAGAGTCCCTCGAAGAATTCGACAGGAGTTAGTTTGGACGTAATTCGGTTGCCGATTCCGCAATGCGATAAAAGAAAAAACACCAGACCGAAGTATCGATAAAGAAAAGGGATAAAAAACCCGCCGCGAGAAGGAAAATTCAGTCCTGATATCGGAGAACGCTACACGTATAAAAGGAATACATGGTCGTAACGAGAAATTTTACTTGCGGCAAGAAACATGAACATTTGAAAATCGGCCAGGAAAATATTTGTCGAAAAACATATTTGTTATATTGCATACCACTCATTCGTTTGAATATTGACTATATCTTTTTGGCTATTGGAGCAAATTCATTTGCTAATTTTTCAAGGATTTTTTTCTAAAGGAACCTCTGCAATTGTTCTCCACCTGCGATTCGATAAAATGACAATCATGCGATTATTCCTGCCGGAAGAGCAAAATTTTATCAGCAATGCTGTCCTTCGTTAAATGTGCAAATGCCTTTTATTTCAGGGGAAAATCAGGGAATTTTTAGGAAATCCCGGGGGTGGGGAGAAATCCTGGGGGGGCTATTCGTAGCGCATCTGCGTTTTCCGATGCCGGCCGGAAGCGGAACCGGAAGCGGACCGGAAGTGGGGACCGAGGGCACGTCGACTCGACGGGACGGGAGAACGGCCCGAGCTCGGGATATTACACTTTCTGACAGTCTAAGTGGCGTGGCCATATTTAAAGTCAGACGTTGCGTTGAATAATGCAGCACACGCCTAACCGCTATGAATCAGCATCAGCCGGAATGGCCCTTTCTCTCCCGTTTTCTTTCCCTCGGTTTCTCTGTCACTCCGCCTTTTCTCCCGCCCTAGACTTCGCGATTACTCTTGGCCTTCCGGAGGCGAAAGTCCGAGAGGATTGCAACCGCGACCCGCCTCGAATACCGACTCGTACAGGACGCCGAAAATGGAAAACGGAGTGAAATATTCCGAAAGAGCATACTGGGAAAATCCCGAAACGGGGATAACAACGAAATAGGAATAATCAGTTTCTCCTGTCGCTATTGTTGACCAACGCGATGACCAATACCGATTCGCACAGGGCGTCGATAATCGAAAAGGGAGGGAAATATGCGAAAAAAAGACACGTGGGAACCAACAACGAAGTAGGAAATATCATTTACTCCGATTGTTGGCTCACTATTGTTAACCAACCACGTTCGAGAGTGGACGTTATTGCACGGAGTAAAACACGAAACGAGGTCTGATGGGTGTTACCTAGTTAGAAGAGGATGAACAGAGCCTCCAGATATGGTAAGGGTGCAAATTATCGGGATTCCCTGATTTTTCCATTAATATACCCGGTTAATGTGGAGCAATGGTGCACTTCCGGGACGCATTCCAAGAATCGAGAGGTCGATGCATCCCGGGAATTGCGGCTACCAGGGGCGGGCGGGAAATCGACGTGCACCGTGTTCAGGGAAGACCTCCACTAAGAGTCGTTTGTCTTGTGTGTTTCAGGTTCTGCCACCTTGGAAAGCGGCCAAATCTGGGAGTATATCCTTCAAAATTCGGACCAACGAACCCACGGGATTGGTCATGTACAGCAGGAGCGGAGCGCACTCGAGGGTACGATGACCCGGGACAACTGTTCCCTTTTTGTCGTTTATCCCTCGAACCTTAATATGTTTCCTTCCGCAATTGGTCCCACGTAGTTGGTACTGTTTCTACACTTGTTCTCATATTCGCATGAATTTTCAAAATTATTCCCTCCATTGTTTTCGCATCCCTTTAATCAGTCGCGACATGTCTAAACGTTACCATCTTTCTTGCTTTTAATTTCTCCTATCATCGTCAATCCTAATTCTATATTTATCATCACTTTCGCGTAATTCATCAAAATTATTCCCTTACTTGCTCTCGCATCAACTCAATCAGTCGCGATTGGATGTGGAAGCATTGAAATCACCAGCTCCCAGGTCCGTTCTATGAATGTTTTCACTGATATCAAATCAACTCTTCACTTGTCATCGGGATTGAGAGAAATTGACATTGAATGAGTCGAACCCTTCCTCGAATTTACGACTAACTCCCAGCTTAAAGAGAGACGGGAGTAGGGGAGGAAACAAAAAGGAAAGAGCGACCCTATTACGGGGCTCTGGACGGGGGGTATTTTTTCATTTTCAATTAATCGCACGCGGCTTCGGCAAACACAGCCGCTGGTGAAATCGTATAATAAGCCAATTAAAATGCCCTCTAATTTCCGGCTCGCGGGAGACACCCCTCGAAAATTCAGGGACCCACAGGTCGCGAACTCGACCCTGGGAAAGGAGACACGACCCGGAAAACTGCCGCTTTGATTGTCCGCTGATTATTCAATTACCGACCTCCCTCTCTCTCTCAGGGGATAGACGGACCGATTCTGGACCTGACGAACAGATCCCACCCTTAGATTATTCCCTAAACTGTATCAAACACGAGATATCACATTTTTTCCACTCTCAGGCACCACCCCGATCGACTTGAAAAAATGATACATTTAAATACAATCAATAATCAACAGATAAAATTTTGCAAGCGGTGAAAATTTCATCAACATTTAATTCCGTTCCCGATTCGTAGCCGAAATTGTAACCCTGCTTTGAAACCGCCTAACTTAAGTAAGCCCTATTTTTGTTCTAAAAAATGAAGATATTTTAGAAAAGGACTACAAGATACCTTCAAGTAGGATGAGAATTTCGATTCAGAACCCTTGATATTTTCCAGTAATTTATACGATTATTTTTATTTCTTTTGTCCTAGATTATCGAATTTGGGGAGTGGACATTTTTAGTTTCAATGGGATTTATGAACGTTTCCATTTTCGTTTCAAGCCGGACCTCTTCGCCTTCGAGATCTTGGGTGGTCACCTGTACCTCCACGCCGACCTGGGCAGCGGCCCCGTCAAGGTGCGAGCGTCGCGACGGCGCGTCGACGACGGAGCGTGGCACGACGTCGCCCTGCGTCGCGTCGACCGGGACGGCCGCGTCACCGTCGACGGCGCCACCGTGGAGTTTCGTACACCGGGTAAGGGGAACAATTGCAAGTATCGACGCTTTTCTCAATACGATCCCTGTAGAACGGAATGAACGTCTTCACCCACGTCACCTCATCCGTTCATCAAGGTTCATGGCAAGTATGCGCCGACGTACGAGAAAGCATTATCTCTCATACACGATGAACAGGGGCACCTCCTCTTAACGAAAGGATAAAAGGTCGATGTCGAATTTTCCGATGAATACAGATAGAGGGATGAGAAAACCTCCCTTAACGAGAACTACCGGTAGTTAAACAAAGGGGGAAAAAAATGGGACTCCGGGGTTCATGACCAAGTACGCCAGGCTGGCTGGGCGAAAAAAGAAAAATCCCCGCTCCCCCGGGGAGTTTCGCCCATAAACGAAAACACCGATAATTGAATAAAAAAAAAATAAAAAAAGAAGAGGAGGGGTAAATAAACAAAAACCACAGACAACCGAAACCTTACCCGGCCCGCGCTTTTTCCCCACCCTTTTATCTCTCGCTCCCATTTTCCCCGGTTTTTTTCCCCGACTCCTTTTTTTCCCCCCCGAAATCACCGATCTCGTCCAGCACCGCATTTCCATCTCATGCATACACACCGCACGCGCTCCGCGCGCTGCACGCACGAGTTACGTACTCTCGATTTTTAACGCACTCGAAACACTGGGGGCTGACCAAAAAAAAATACGGGAAAGAACAAACATCGCGCGGGTTTCGAAAACGGATCGGATGATACGGTTCAAAGAGGGGAAGACAAAAAATTGTGCGACTGGAATCGTCGCCATTATTTCGAGTGCTGGGCTGCACCTTGCACTGGGGTAACCCCTCCAATGCACGTTTTCTTGACGCACTTTTTGCACCGTTGTCAATTTTGCATGTCTTCTTAGGAATAATGATTATTGATAAAGTGATGGAGGGAGGAGAGACGAAAGAGAGGACGTTATTACAGCCTCCTCTGCGAGATCGGCCACCGAGAGGTCGTTTTTTTCGATCGGGTCGAGAAAACGGAGCCTCGGGCCCGATAGTGTCCTCGGAAGGCCGTTATGTGGAAAGTGCACTTTATCACTTAGTCCGCCACGCGAGCAAATCCACGGCCTTTGGAACTCCGTGCACAAACAGCGGCGAGTCCACTCATAACTCACAGTTACACGCTCGAGGACGTTTCCCTCTCCGGACGGCGAGTCCCTTTGTTCCTTTTTATTAGATTTCCCGCGGGTTCTTTTGGCCCCCACGGGAGGGCTTTTATCGGAACCCTCCTCGCCCCGCGAACCGATAAGGCAGGACCGCCCTGGAACTCCGAAGCTCCCCGGAAAACAATCCCCCCTTCCCAGGAATCGGGAATTCTCTCCCTCTTCGCATCTCAAAATTCCCTATAAAATAAACTTGAAAATTTGCAAATTATTCAATCGTTTGCTCATAAGTGTATTTTTGGACGTCGAGGTAGGAGGAATCCCCTCGTAAGGGGAAGTTTCAAAGAGGGTGGATGGAAAATTCGGTTCTTGCGGTGTGGACTCTAGACCCCGGAAAACGAACCCTCCTAGGAATCGGAATTTCTTTCCCTCTTGCCGTTTGAAAAATTCACATTGAAAAAATTCCGATCATTTTGGAGGCTTCCGATCCTGGGGAAATGAGGGAAGTATAGGGAAATTTCTGGAGTCGGAAAAATTCACGTTAAACAGAATTCTGCAAAACTTCAGAGACTCCTCATCCCAGAAGAATCGACGTCGGGAAGTTGTTGAATTATTTCCTCATAAAAGAAGTTTCTTTAATGTCGAAGTCGAATGGATCCCCTCGTGACCGGAAGTTCCGAAGTTTCGGATGGGGATTTCGGTTCCCGTGGTGTTTATCGCGAGTCAAGGGACGACGAAAGTCTGAGCCTGGGGGACTCGGATTCGCAATATAGAAAAATTCACCTTAAAAAAAATTCCAATCATTTTAGAGGTTTCCGATCCTAATGAAATGAGGGAAGTAAAGGGAAATTCGACGGTGGCGCTGGGAAATTAATTATTTACACGATAATCGTCTTTTTGAATATCGACATCGGAGCGATTCCTTCGCGAGGGGAATTTTCAAAGTAGTCCCCACGATGTGGAATTCTGGAACCTCCCGGAAAACGAACCCTCCTAGGAATCGGAATTTCTTTCCCTCTTGCCGTTTGAAAAATTCACATTGAAAAAATTCCGATCATTTTGGAGGCTTCCGATCCTGGGGAAATGAGGGAAGTATAGGGAAATTTCTGGAGTCGGAAAAATTCACGTTAAACAGAATTCTGCAAAACTTCTGAGACTCCTCATCCTAGAAGAAACGACGTCGGGTAGTTGTTGAATTATTTCCTCATAAAAGAAGTTTCTTTAATGTCGAAGTCGAATGGATCCCCTCGTGACCGGAAGTTCCGAAGTTTCGGATGGGGATTTCGGTTCCCGTGGTGTTTATCGCGAGTCAAGGGACGACGAAAGTCTGAGCCTGGGGGACTCGGATTCGCAATATCGGAGTTCGAGGCTCGCCGATTGCTAAGGCGACCCAGGAAACAGATCGTCCTAGCGGCGGCACGAGGATGCGAGTCGGGAGACGCGGCCTTTATTAAAACGATAAATAAACAACTGCCGAGTTTCCGCATCCCGGTACCTTCCTGGCGGCGTGCGGCTGACGTCAAATAATATGCGCAAACTTGGCCCACTCGGCGTCTCTCTCCTCGCCGTTCGCGGATACGTGCGAGGGATGCACTTCCGCTCAGGACGAAGTGCCGAAGTGCCCGAGTACGAAGTTCCGCATCCGTAGGAACGAGAGAGAGAGGGGGGGGATGAGAAAGGCAGAGGCGCCGAGATTTCGGAAACTCGGCGGTTTCTTGTTTGTTGTTGTGCAGCCTGATTTATGCGCGACTACCGCGCCGACCGATCCGGAAGTCTACCTTGGCTCCCCTGATTTCACGTTATCTGTTATCACCAGGTGATTCCACTCAGCTGGACCTGGACGGATTGTTGTACATCGGGGGCGTCGGTGCACCCTTTGCCCCCCTTACGGTTCCTGCGGTTTTGTGGAGCGGTTCACTTCGCCAGGGCTACGTGGGGTGCATGAGAGACCTCGTCATCAACGGACATCCGGTCGACATCGCAGGGTATGCTCAGCAGCAGGACTCAGGTGAGAATGGAAGAAACCACGGCTGTCTTCATCGAGTTTCTGGTCATACAGTTTCAACAATGACGAACAAACGACAAAAGCACACCTTCACGCGTCAAAACCGAGGGGGCGTTCACTCAGGAAATTATGGATTTTGACGCTTGAAATCATGGGGAAATAATCTGAAAATCACCGGAACACTGTCGCAATTTTAAGATCAAACGTCATTTATTACCGAATCGCATAGTTGTTCATAAAAAAAAAAAATCAAAGGTAATGGGTAATCAAAACCATGGACGTAAGATGTATGGACCACGAGTATCGATTCGACCGTGAAGGCGGAAACTTTGAAAGAGAGAAAAAGGACACTTTCTTTCCCTCTGATTTTTCAAAACAGTTGCGTATCGCACCAAAATGCGCCGTTGATAGGAAATTAACAAAAAGATACCTTGTTAAAACGGCCTCGCTGGGCACCTAAGGTCTTGGCCTTGTTATATTGAAACTTTTTGTACAAGGCACTCCAGAAAGGATCCTTAACAGCTCTCTATAAAAAGGACCTGTAAAAAGCCCCATTCTGACTCGAGCAGGACCTGATAAAACGCACCCTGTTAGAGTTGACCCGAGGAAGGCCTTATCAGGCTCACGTGACATCGGGTCAATTTCTACTCGGGAATAATCAAGTTTCGAACAAGGTCAAAGCATATACGAGGTTGTTGCCTGAGTTGCCGAAATTCCGGCGGAAAAAAAAAAATATTCCGCTGCGGACAGGATTCGAACCTGTGCGGGCATAGCCCATCAGATTTCGAGTCTGACTCCTTAACCACTCGGACACCGCAGCTCCTGGTCTCTCGGGCTCCTAAAGCTCTCATATCAACCAGTATCCCTATAGACATTCACTTGTTTGGCGTTGACATTCTATTAATTAACAAATTCCCTAAAGTATATTAAATAAATTCCAGTATAAATGTATGAAATATAAATTTCCCCGGAATCGGACCAGCTTATCCGGCGACTTGATCGTCGACATTCGATGTAGTATTAATTAGATTTAAAATCATTGTAATTTTTTTACAGGTGCAGTGCGGCCGGCATGCCACCACGTGCAACCCCCGCACTGTCCCTCTCAGCCTTGTATGCACGGCGGCCATTGTCTCGAAGGGTGGAACAGATTCCATTGCGACTGTACAGGGACACCTTTCACGGGTCCCACGTGCGGAAAAGGTACGTCCCTTCATGGGCCATCTTTGCGAGCCACCCCTAATTTCTTTTTCATGAAAACCCCACCCTCGTACGAGTACACAAAAAGCAACTTAACGGCTGCTAAAACAGCCCCCCGGAAAAAAGCCCTTTGGGAAAGTGGCACTTGGGGTTGATTACATGCCTACCTGTGTACCTAGGTGGAATCGATCTATCGAATAGGGCTAATGATTCTTAAGGTGACGTGAAAGGTGTTGAGAAATTTTCGGTAAATAAGAATTCTTCAGACTGATCGGTCAACCTGAAAGATAGACAATCACCCGAACGAAGCGGAGTGGAATTCTGGGTATATCACCGGATTAATATGACAATTTTTTTATCAATGAGACTTCATGGGTGTCGGTACTTTCTATAGAGCCCCCGTGTTCACGTGGTACAATTTCTAACGATTCGGTACATCTAGTTCGGATAAAAGTGTTATGTATAAATTATTTTCTCGCTTTAACGTCGCCTTAAGGTACCTCGGAGTTCTTTTTTGTTTTTTTGCTGATCTGGATTTCCCTGCAGATGCGTCGACCCTGCACCTAAATGGCTCCCAGCAGATGACGGCGCTGATGCCGGAGGACTCGAAGACCCAAGCTGAAGAGGTGGTGGTTCGCTTCAAGACCACCAAACCTCGAGGTCTTTTGTTAGCGACTAGTCTGGAGAACAGCGCCGATCGCCTGCAACTTAGCCTGGAAGAAGGAAAGGCTAAAATGTTGATACACATCGGTGATCGAGAGAAAGTAAGCTTCATTTTTAACGCTTCTCATTGACGGTTCCGTTTCCATGAGCCCTGCTCGCGGTACCTTGGGCCAGCTTCCTCGAGTTGGACGGAGTCAAGTTTTCCGTCGACTTTTCACCCCGGACGGCAGCCACGCGCGTATTAATTATCCCCCGGATGTACAGATACGTTGCGTCGTGCTTCTCGTGACTAATGACGAGGGCTTTAATTAATCTCGACGACGTTTTCCAGGGAAAATTATCGCGCGGACGCGCTTTCATCGCCACGGCCTCCGGACTGCTCCTGACCTGCCCTAACCTCGAAACAAGCAGCAAGCCACCCACACCCACACAAAGCCTCGTTTTCCATTTAACTTCACTTGCCCCATAAATCTGATGAATTTCTCCGGATAAATTGTGTCTTTCCAAGAACTATTACCCAAATTATTAGGTCGTTACCACCCACCTAACCAATTATTTGGTTGTCAAAAATATTCACTTGTTGCATCCCAACTTCGGTCGAATTTGTTGAGTTTGTCCTTTCTTTGACTGTTGACTTTTTAATTCCGACGACGGCATCCTGGCGAAAGGCACAACCGTATCGATAGTGTTAACGCCGCTGATAACCGCAAAAAAGCCGCGAGGGATCGCGCGGAAAACGCACTCTTTTTGTACGCCGGACGCGTCGCCGTCGACGAGACTCTACGATAAATCGTTGCATGTCGCGGCGACCGAGAAATTGTCCGAGGAAAAAGTCGAGCAGAAAATGTCTAGGTTATCGTGGCAACGGAAGTGACGCCTTGCCCCCGGAATGCAGAGATCAATTGAAAACGCAGCGCATTTGCATTCGTTTCCGTCCTCGTCGCGACGGTGTCGGAAACGGTCGCCTCCTTACGAGCCGGCGAAAAGCTACGGGACGATAACGACTCGACATTGTTGCAATTTATACGGCCCTCCAGCCCCGAGTCCGCCCTTACTTTAATTTCCGGCTGCCCCTTGACTTTTTCTTATCACCCGGCACTTCTGGCCGAGTGCTCATTGCTCGTCGACTGATCATTTCTGCCGGGCCGTTCCTCTTCCACCCCGGCACGACACCTTGTCCCTCGGCGCCTTTTTAACGAGGGCCCTTTTATCGCCGGTAATTTCATTACCAGCCGTGACACAACTCGAGGAAATTCCATTTACTCAACTCGGACCATGGAATTAAGAAACCACCTCCGGAAATGGGTTTCGCCGGTTGTTGCGCGGGTTTTCGGGGCCGCGCGGAAATAGACCCGGCTTCTGTATCCGCACTCAAAGTAGTTCGACGTTAATGGGGCGACTGGAATAGGAATTAATCGTCGGTGTAGGTTCACGTGAATCATAACGAGACGCCGCTCCCCAGGAACTCGATTCATAATCCGCACCCGGAGACTTTCATCGATTATGTCGCAATGCGGTAACCGTTCGTTATGTGCCGAGTTGCTCCCGATATAGGTACTGCCGCTTCCGGTACTACGACCTGCGCCTCGATTAATAGACACGAAGAAACACGATTAATCATTTTGTCAAGTGGTTCTTCGACCTCCCGAAATCCTGGAAGTCCAAGTTTAATGGGCTCCGAGCACCCGTGAAATTGATATTAAGGGGCCTTGGTACTCGGATCGATCGACGCGCCTCTTTCCGAATTTATACCTACTTTTTAGCAAAACCGTCCCCATCATTGACGGCGTTTATCGAAATGAATTTTTAAAACCTAACTTGAGAAATAATTTCCACGGTGTAACCCTAGCCTATGAAATTTCCCGCGCAGAGGTTAATCCTCATTTGGCATAAAATAAAAATGATATTCACCGTTCAGGAAAATCGTCCACATTATTGGTGGTCGTTAATCGCGCGCGAAACGAATTTCGAAACAAAGTTGAATACAAAATTTCAAGATGTTGGAGCGGGAAAGAACTTCAGGGGATAGTTTTAACGGTGGAGGCATAGTCTTCAAAAATATCCATCGCAAGAGATTATTCGACATTTGACGGAATGAGAGAGCTTTTTCCTCGTCAGTTCGGTTTCGGGTCCGAGTTTCATCGATTCTATCGCAACGCGCGGCAACGATTCGTTATTATGCGGTAACTAATGAGCGAATCACGGCCGCCCGCTGGGGAAATCGCGCGGCGATTTATTGCCCGCCGGACTGGAAGCCCGCGATTGCGAAATTACATATATATGTATATGTACATATAAATACATATATATGCACGTTTGCACCTACACGCGCGTCCACCTGTATCGTGAAATTCATTTGATGCGCCGACGGGAAATTGACCGAGTACCGGAAGACCGGATTTCGGGGGCGGCTTTCGAGGAGCTTCCGCGGAGCTTCCGCGGAGCTTTCGCGGAGCGCGAAAAGCTCGCCGGCGTTCGGCCGTTTCGCGTATTGATCTCGCGGCGAAGCACGTAGTTCCGAAGCTCTCGACTTCAAAGGACCGAAGTACCTATCGGGAGCCTCGTCGCAGCCGGGAGTGCTCAAAGCAAAAATTCTTCGAGACTCGGCCGACAGGACTCTTCAAGGCTCCTTCCGACGAAAGGAGCGCCCTCGCCCTTGCTCCTCGCCCCGGTATTTAATCGGCCAGAATACTCGGAACCGGAGATTCGCCGCCGACGAGGACACTTTGATCGATAATTATTTGACCCCGACTGATAATTATTAGGAAGTGACTTCCACCTCGAATCATCGTTACCATCGAGTTCCACCCTATACACTGATTTTCTTGGACATTTCTGCGAGTTTGCGCGAAATCGAAAATGCATGCAAGAAATTAATGGTCGAGTCTCAAGAGTAAATGGAAAATGTAAATTAACATGAAGAAAAAGTGCGAAAGAGGACTTCCTTCGTAGTATTTGCACCGATATTTAATCGATCGAAATATTCGGAACAGCAGATTCGCCGCCGACGAGGACACTTTGATTGTCGAGACATGACTGATAATTATTAGCAAGCGTCGTCCACCTCGAATCATCGTTACCATCGAGTTCCACCCTATATCCTGATTTTCTTGGGCATCTCTGCGAGTTTGCACGAGATCGAAAATGCATGCAAGATATTAATGATCGAGTCTCAGGGGTAAATGGAAAATGTAAATTAACACGGAGAAAAAGTGCAAAAGAGGACTTCCTTCGTCTTTGCACCGATATTTAATCGATCGAAATATTGGGAACAGCAGATTCGCCGCCGACGAGGACACTTTGATTGTCGAGACATGACTGATAATTATTAGCAAGCGACGTCCACCTCGAATCATCGTTACCATCGAGTTCCACCCTATACACTGATTTTCTTGGGCATCTCTGCGAGTTTGCGCGAGATCGAAAATGCATGCAAGATATTAATGATCGAGTCTCAGGGGTAAATGGAAAATGTAAATTAGCACGGAGAAAAAGTGCGAAAGAGGACTTCCTTCGTCTTTGCACCGATATTTAATCGATCGAAATATTCAGAACAGCAGATTCGCCGCCGACGAGGACATTTTGATCGTCGAGACATGACTGATAATTATTTGACCCCGACTGATAATTATTAGGAAGCGACTTCCACCTCGAATCATCGTTACCATCGAGTTCCACCCTATACACTGATTTTCTTGGACATTTCTGCGAGTTTGCGCGAAATCGAAAACGCGTGCAAAAAATTAATGGTCGAGTCTCAGGGGTAAATGGAAAATGTAAATTAACCCGGAGAAAAAGTGCGAAAGAGGACTTCCTTCGTATTTGCACCGATATTTAATCGATCGAAATACTCAGAACCAGAGATTCACCACCGACGAGGACACTTTGATCGTACAAATTTGACTCATAATTAATTGACCCCTTCAGGATGTACCCCATCCCATTCAATCTCCCTCCGAATTAGCGTTATCATTGATTTCCCCTTCATTTAATTCCGATTATCGAGGGCATTTTTACGGGCTTGCGCGAGATTGAAAATGCACACAGGAAATTAACGCAACCGATCCAGCCTCCCGGCTAAATGGGAAATTTAAATGAACATGGACAAAATGCGCGGAGAGGAGGGAGATAAAAATGAATCTTAGAAGGAGAGCGATAATCCAGCATTTTTTCATATACTTTTCAGTAATCTAAATCAAAATTAAATTAACGTAGCAAAAGTTCACGTGGCACAAAACTGTTGATATGAATTTTTTTACAAGAATAACCGATAAAAGCTCGTGTACCCATTTTATCTTTTTCCCATATATCGGTTTACCCTTAAGGTATATACGACTCGCTTGGATATCCCCAACATTTTTAATACATTTAAAATACAAATAACTCGAAAAATAAGACTCAGTCGGTCATTTTGACTCTATACCTAACGAAGCTCTAAGCTCATTAAAATCTCTACGAATTGATTTGATAAGACCTCTCTGCCAGTTCTGGATCTGAGGGCGGTCCTATTCCGGAGGAATTTTTCATTCGCATTTCGAAAAGAGAATCGGAAACGACGGGGCTGATACCGAGCGCTCGTCCGGCACGTCCGCGAGATTCCGCGGCACGGCTGGTGATAAATAAAAGCGCGAACGATAGCGGTGACATAGAGCTGACGTTACGTTACGAACGCGCGCCCGCAGCCCACGCGTCACGCGATATCATGTGTCGCGCCGCGCTAAATAGCAGATAGTGACGAGTCCCCAGGATTTATAGGGACCCGAACAAATGAGGGCTCTGCCGGGATGGTTTATCGCCCCCGATTGGCACGGCGAGTCCATTTCGTTCTGTCGATACGCCCCGAGTGATTGTCAAAAGTAGCCGAGAAACGAGGGCGTCAGAGGAGGAACATCCTACTCTCCTGGTCTACCTATGATTTGTTTAATTCCACCGCTAAGAGCTCAAGAATATATTTTTTATTCCATTCTTCGGTACATTTTACCTTGATTTTTTTTTTTTTTTTTCTTTAATGTGTCGTAAATGTTTAAGAGACAGAGTAGGTGCTGATGCGTTCAACTTCAGCTGAAAAATATGTTATCTTTCATTTTTTTCAGTATATTTCAACTTGAATTTTGTTGAGACACGGGGTAAGGGGTTAAACGACAAAATGATGAGATTTCTAGGGATTGAGTAAATGGATGATATAATTAAGTTTAGAATGAGGCTTGTATCGAGGAGAAATCAAATCGCTCGATCGCGGGTCACGTGGGGGGAATTATCATTGAAATATTAGTCCATCGCGTTAATAGGGGATTGCTGTAATTTCATCTGGGGGTATAATTGAGTGGTTTATCGCCCCCCGGTTGGCAAATTCAGTTGGAGCTGTCGATACGTGTTGGCCGATTGTCAAAAATGTCCGAGCAAGGAAAGCCTGACTGTCAGGAGGGAGTGCACGTATGCGCATTGTTTTTTCCCCGCGGGACTTGTCGAGCCATCGGGAGCGGAAGAGCGGACGGCCCAATGTTTTTATTTCCAATTTTATCCCCGTCCCCTTGCTAATGTTTGAAAGCCCAATAAACGAAATGGCCCGTCCTCGATCGATTAAGGAGACAGGGTAGCGTGTCGGTGTAAATTTCCACCCGGAATAAAAAACCCTCGGGCGGGCCATGGGGTCGGTCGACGGCAGGGGCCGAGTGCGGTCGGGCAGTCTCGTTAATGGGGAATTGGCGCAATTTCATGGAGATTAATCGGCCTCGAGAACCGTTACATTCGGATAATTTAATCGCTGCGGTTCCGCGGCGTTCCCATTGAGAGCCGCTGCCACCGTCGCAGTGCACATATTCGCCCTCGACAGCCGATGATGCATCTTGCGAGCGAATTGATCGATTCCGTCCCCGCCGCCATCGTGTTTCTCTTGCCGGAGTCCGAGCACTATCTGCACCAATGTCGGTGCAATTAATTCATTACCGTCAGCTCCAGAGGTCCTCCGGTGGCCCGTCTGGACCAGTCTCCAGTTTCCGAAATTTTGCGAATTTTCTTTTCAGATCCTGACCGCCGGACAGGGCCTCAACGACGACGTGTGGCACACTTTGAGGTTCTCTCGAAGAGCCAGCTCTCTGAAGCTGCAGGTCGACGACGAGCCGGCAGTCAGGGGTGAGTTCAGCAGTTCATGCATCTCTGCCATCGAATGCACTTGCAGGGGAGCTCGGGGGGAAGGACATCGGAAAACGGGGCGAAATAAATGTCGGGCAATTTCCTCGACAACCTTCGAGCTCCGCTCAGACCCGTCTACGTAACGAGGGCCTCAAAGTCTGCATTTCCAGGGAAGACCGTTCTTTACGGACCGCCTGCACGAAGGCGCGAGCTGGGGCAATTACCTCGGGATCCCGATCGAGCCTTAAGGTGATATGAAAGTGGCGTCTGGGGAGGTCAATCGTTTGTGCAACTTTTCTCGGAACTGGGTGGGTCGAGTTCTTCGAAACTCTCCCACGTAAATGTAGAGGCCCCGAGGAAGACCCTGACACCCACGAAACTTTATCTTTTACGAGAGACCGATGAAACGTTAACATAGAAATTTTATAGAAAATGAAATTGTATGAACTTCGGAATCTTCCTTAAGGCCTCCGTATCCACGTGGCGAAACGTCAAATGACACGTGGCTGTCACTGCGGAAAAATTGTTCATAAACGATTGCCGTCTCTCTCCACTTTCCTACCACCTTAACGTAGACGATGTCAAAAACGACGCGTCCTCGAGTTTGTCAAAATTTGGCGAAGCATTGACACGGGCATTGGGGCTACCATGAATTCGACCTTCGAAAACGGAGCTCCGCAGGCGCACTTCCCTTCCCAGCATTTGGAAGAGGGAGCAGGGGAGGGCTCGAGGTGGCGAGAAACCAATCAACTATTTTGCATCTGGATCCGACGTACAATTTGCCCTGGCCTCCCCTGGACCCTACACTCCGTTCCCAGTCACCTGTCCCGTGAAATCCCCGTCCCACCTGTCGCTAATGGGCGCATAATGCGGAACTGCGCAGGACGTCGTCGCGCTCTCCACTCAAAGGACCAAGGTTTCGGTCTGCCCTGGCAGGAGTCGAGCTCGTTGCCGACGTAGTTATAGGTCAGGTCAGCCAACCCATGTAATTTCCCGACGACGACGGCGCCGATCCAGCAGGGGGGCCGCTCACTAATTTCCCATCCACCGGGAAAGCGTAACGCGCCTTCGACGTACCTACGGAAATTGACGTGGAACGATTCGTAACCGCGATTGATTTCCCCCGCTCCACTCGGTTGCTCTTCGAGATACTTATTTCGGATATTTATTACGATGATTTGCTCCCACGGTTAACTATCCGGAATTTCCAGGACTCTCCAGGTTCCACCTCCCCCATGGGAGCTTTTCCGAGCGCAGGTATTCCGCAAAAAGAGGCGGATCTTCGAGAGGTCCTTCCTCGGCCTGCCCTCGAAACGCATTTTGACCTCGAGCGAGGCCGCTCTACGTATCGGTTTTCTCTCGGGGACTTTTCCGCGCGGGCTTTCCGCGACGTCCACTCGACGGCTCCGTTTGCGCGCCCAGGCACGCCCGGCAGCCTAATTTAATGGCAACCCCCGACGAGCTCGGCAATTACCCCTCGTGCGAGACCGGGCCGGGATGCAGAAATGCCGGCCGGCGCCGTCGTATTTCAGAATCCCTGTTTAGCATAAATATCCGGCGCCGAGCAATACCCGACGGGCACGGCACCGGCTTGAAATATCGCCCTTACGTGGAAACCAACTCCGCGTCTCGTGAGTGGTCGAGAACGCTCTCTTGATCCTTGCCGAGGAGCTCCCCCAAAGGTGTAGGTGGCTTCGAATATCAAGGAGCGATAAGCAAGTGCAAAGCCAACATTACGATCCCGATAAGGTTATCCGACCTGTTGCCTTGCAACATTACTCTTATCGTGTCGTCTAACCCTTTCGAATGAATAGTAACAAGGAGGAACACGATACCGAGATAAGGAGGAAAGATATTGGACGCTAAGTCCTCGTCCTCGAGTGGAGGACGAGAGGATGAGAGACAGTTTCCAAGACGAAGAGGGTAGCGAGACGGCCGAGGGGGGCCAATTCCGTCGCGGGGGGCGAGCACCTGCCTACGAGGGCGAGGACCGAAATTAGAAATTTCCAGGGAAAGTTGAGACGGTAATTTTTCACGTAACTTTTAAGATCCTCTCGCGTTCTCCCTCGGGAGGTGGCCCGACTCGCCGGGGTTCTTCGAGGGGACGTGCAGGAACAGGAGGGGGATGGGGGGGGCGTGTAAGGTGTACTCGTAGATGCAGCAAGTTTAAAATTGAAATTTCCCAGTGTACCCTGTCGGAGTGGCCGTGAAAAATGAGACCTCTCTCGAAGATCCCTAACCTGTTACCTTACAAACTGGGACACGCGGTTGCCGGGAAATTTGGAAAAATGGTGCCCCCTCTCCAGGGGGGGAGGTGAACAAATTTCGGACTTATCGAGCACTTCGAGGGAAAATTTCGGTAATCGCTCGATGACCGTTCGGTAGAGGGGGAAAAGGATGGAATGGCGACCCGTTTCAACGCAGCGGCGGTTTTCAGGACCCGGGGGAAATGTCCAATTAGCATTCACGGAGAGGAGTCGCAAGAATCGGACGGGATATGTAAATGGGGCGGATTTGAAAGCGGGTCTCGCCGGAGGGAGGACGGATCCGAAATTTGTCACCCCCTCGTGGCGGCGCTAAAAGCGTAATTTGTCCAGACCGCGAAGTCGCCCTTCCACCTGGGCGTCCCTTGCACCCCCCGATTTTCCGCAGAATTCTGTCGTCCGCGTTAATCGCGTTAATGCGAACGCGCTTTCGTCGAGTCCACGGAAGAAAGCGTGCACTTGGACGCCCTGGTGAAATGGAGGAACAATGTAGGGCGCATCGCTCGTAAGTGTCCCGATAAGCGGAAGTGGCGATAAATCGCGACATAATGCGCGCCGAATGTCGCGGGTTTACGTGCTACGTGTGGAACGAGCATCGAGTGGGGAAAACACGTGGGGTGCATAAAGCGGCGCGAAGTGCAGCCCGCTGTGCATCGATTACGGCGGCCTTAAGGCTTCCATGCACCAAGGCTGGCGCCTTTCCAATTTTCCCGGCCTCTTCTGGATTCGCCGGAGCCGAGCGCTGGTGAGAGATAACCGGCTAAGTGGAAATCATCCCGCGAAAAACAACCCTAACGACTCGCCAGTCGAGCTCGCTTATCCGCGCGGTGAACTCTCCGAGTTGGGTCGTTTCCCTCAAGAAACCGCGCGGCGCCGTCACTCGTCGGATGCACCGACGAAAGATCGGCGAGATAACAATTGCCATGAAGTTTTCCTAGCGTCGCGACGCTCGTTGGATACCCCGACGAAAGACCGGCGAGATGGCAATTGCCATGAAATTCTTTTCCCGTCGCGACGCTCGTTGGATACCCCGACGGAAAATCGGCGAGATAGAAATTCCGCGGTAAAGTTCCGTCCAATCTATTCGAGCCTATCCGAGTGAAATAATTATTCCTAAAATTATCAAGGTATTCCATTGGTTCAATGAAGTTTCTATTTTTCTCAGAGTAGATGTGTAAGGATGGGACCTTACTTGGGAGGTGACACGTCTTGCGGGAAAAGGACTTTTCGGGTCCGATCCGAATACCTTTCCACGAGACAACGTATCGCACGGTATGTCACCTCGTTAAGAGGGATCACGTTAACGGGCGAGTTCTCTTGCCGTGTACACGTTACCGTGTAATCCTCTTAGAAATTACCCTGCCGCGGGACTGCCCTCCGCCGCGATCGAACGTGCACGTAATATGGAATATTAACCCCGTTTCTGGCTTGCAATTTCTGTATCCGTTTCTCTGCCACCCTTCGTTGCCCCTCGCTGCAGAGGGAGAGACAAGAAAGCAGTGGTTAAACCTACGTCTCCCACCCCAGGACGAGTACGTAGACGCGGTATTGCGCCGGGGAGGGTGATTTAGCTTATGCACCGCAGTATGCCGCGTTGCATACTGCATCCGCACCGACGCGGGCCAACTAATTCCGAAATGTCTTGTTGCGTGTACTCGGGGTCGTCGTTACCGGAGCCTCCAAGACGTCGTATGGCGGTGACAACGAGACGCCCCCTGCAAGGTCCTCGAAAACCTAACTCGAGGGTTCCTCCGACGCGTCGGTGCATCTTAGTAAATTATTTTCACTGGACTTTAAGGTTCTCCTAGAAGACAAAGGTGCCAGAACCCGGGGTTTCGCGTCCAGGATCGATAGCACCACAATGCGCGTAACATTCTGCCGTATATCGAGGGGGGCATCAGCCCCGGCCATACCAATAACCAATACACCGTAGAATAACTGTCACAATGGCGGTCGACGGCGCCATTACCCTTTACTTTATTGGATTTAGATTTACCCCCATTTGTCATATAGATTGCATTCATTCGTTCCCGCGGACCCGCCATTCGTATCCCCATACGGAGCCGCGCTTAAGCTCGACACTTAGGTATATAGAGGGTGCCACGTGGGTGTTACTTACCCCGCATATAGAGGGGACGGGGGTGGGTCCTCGAACCCTAAAAGGGAGCGCCGCTCGATTTAATCGATCGATCCGAGGGACTCGGCAAAGAGCGTCTCGATCGATCGAGCCGGCCCCCCGAGTTCTGGAAAATATCCTGGAAAGGGTGTCCGGGAAGGGGAGGATCCATCAAAATCCATCTTCCGGAGGGGACGAGACCTGGCACTCGGTTCTCCCCTGAGAATTGAAAACCTCCACCCCCTCAGGACGGGAGCCACCCCCGGTCGCCTTTAATCTTTCCAATGGCCGATCGACGAGGGCTGCAATTAAAATACACCCCTCCTAACAGATACCCTGGACGTATCCGAGCCCGCCCTCCATTCCAACATCACGGGGGAGGGTTCTCAAAGGATTACCGAATCTTTTCCTCGACTCCCGCTCGGCCGGGAAAATTGAGCGAGCCCCGTTTGGCCGGCTCATCCCTTGACGGAATTAATTCTATGGAACCGGGGCACTGCCGGCCGGCGATATCGGTAATTTATAATCGATACACGCCTGGTTTGCCAATCAACCTGCGTACAGAAACCGGGCTACCGCGGTTCGTCGACCCCCCGCGAACAGCCTATGCCACCCGGCCCCTCGTCGCCGAACGAGTATCGCCGATGTTGAATTAGGTGACAATACTCCAAATTGCTTGACAACCCCCGGGCCCATCGATTCCTTACAATTGCGGGCATTGATTAGCCGATCAAAGCCGAAGCTCGCAATGTCCTTCCGGTTCTCGTCGCTGCACATTATTTCCTCTCCTTCTTTTCTTCTTTTTTTTTTCTTTTATTTTTTTTTTTTTGAAACGCTGGAAATGAGAATTCTTGAGAATGCGAGGGGGAAGTCGTTCGGGTGGTCCTCTATTATGAATTTCCATTTGCCGTTTCCAGCCGAGACGCTCCTGGGCAAACAGAGCATCCTGGAGTTCCGCACCCTCCACGTGGGCGGATATCTCCACTCCGGGGAAGGCGTTCCCCACTTCGTGGGCCAACTTCAGCAAGTCTGGTTCAACGGGTACCCCTATTTGGAGATCGCTAGGAGCGCGGGGATGCACCAAGGCTCTCATCAAGGTGTCACGCCCATTATCCGGGTCACTGGGAAATTTGGCAAGCGGAATCACCCCGTCCATCATCCCGTCACGTTCACCTCGAAGCACACCTTCGTCGGCTTGCCGGTACTCAAGGCCTACGTCGAGACCAACATCTACTTCCAGGTACATATTGTCGATGAAGAATGATATACGTGGAAAGGTTGACGGAAAGGAAACTTCTCTGGTAGTCGATACTTCTTCGACGACCTGTCATTGCAACTGTAATTGTTATCACAATCAAGCAAGACTGGCACCCAGATAAGTTTCGCTTCCGTCGCGCGGATTTTCGCGTCTCTCATTTTTTTTAGTTTAGTAGCAATGAATAAATAGTAAAATGTTGATAAAGAAATTTATTTAACCAATGAAATATTTTCAAGGAAATATTTCCCTGGTTCAATGATATCTTTTTTTTTCTTGTCAACGTCTCTCGGCCCCACTACACGAAGAGTCCCAACCATGCAAAAGCATGCCCGATTATGGTTTCGTAACGAAAAAAGTTACACATTTCGTTACCCTCGATTTCACCCCCTAAAGTAATATCTATGAGAAACGCCACATAAATGAATAGATAAGAATCGCGACCTGTTATCCAGGATTTCGTGCTAATTACCAGCTTTCCTGGGAAATCGAGCGAACGTCAGGAATTCCATTTCTTTTTTTTTAATTTCCAACCAGAGAGGGAATTTTATCCGCGCTTTTCGGAGGGCTTCTCCCTCTCCCACGGCTATCGCATCATCCTGCGTCGATTAATCGGCGAACGAATTCCATTAATTTCATTTTTCAGGCCGGCCTCGACCAGCTCCGATCCACATGACATCCCTTCGACGTCCGCGAAATGAATAGTTTCGATTCCATTAGGTTCCTAGCCGATGGACACATCGCGGTGCATCCGCCTGCACGGGGAGGGCATACGAGCGCATAAAGGGAATTTCTATTTCCCGGGTACATCTCCGTAAATCGCGTTTATATACGTGTAGATTTATTTATCCATATTTATACATAGCCGAGAGCGACTCGCGACGTCGGTCAGTTTTCCCGTTGAAGTCGGCCAACGACCGACTCGTTACAAGAGGCATTAACCTCCGCAATTGTCATCCATATTGGCCGTTATGCGATTTAACGGCAATAGGCTATTACCCCGAGCGTAACCGAACAGTATTTCGATGTACCGAGCACCCGCGGTCGTGACACCCGCCGGTTCCGCGGCGATTCCGCAACGAGCCGCCATTTCGGAGCGCGCGGCCGGGTTCGGCCAAGTTTACGGTGGAACCGAAACTCAAGGAAATTCTGTTTTACTACAGGACCCGGTTTTACGGCTCGAATTAAGCCCGAGGAATTACGCCGGCTGGATATCACTCCGGACTGTTTGCTGATAAAACTTTATCCTGCCACCTGATTTCGAAATTTAAGGAACCTGGACCGTTAAGGTGAAGTGAAACACCCTTCAAATCGGTCGATTCGAATACAACACTTTTTTTTAAGGGTATTAGGCCAAACTGTCCAAAACTTTGACACATCACTCCTGATCAGCTAAGAATTGTCCTGACACATTGAAAATTTGGATCTTTCAAGATAATTTTTTAACTCGGTCCAGACCAGAAACACGTCGAGGAACTTGATCAACGTCGATAAAGACGATTTTTCTAAATGCCTACGTTGCCGACGTTCGTTTTTATATTGACAGCTGTGTCGAATTATATTGTGTATTGTACCAAATGGCATATTCCACCTGTCGTTTTCGTACAATAATTATGAAGAAATCTAAGTAAAACTCCAGAAATCCTCTGGATTCATGCCTTCTGGGCCCTAATTGACTGCGGAGGGACCCCCTGCGCCATCTGTGATTTCCAGGTTAATTAAATTTTCACTCCGAGACCTCATATTACCATCGCTTTAGCAAAGAAGCGCATACAACACTTTTTTTGCCTTTATCCCGTTCAAATGCGAGTTTATCGTTTACCAGAGTGTTCTAAATGGTCGTAAAATTGTCCTTACCCTTTCGATTCTCATATCAGAGCCTTCGATAATTGTATATTGATAAAAATATGAGAGCTCGACGCTATTTTGTTTCTGGTCTGGACTGAGTTAAAAAATTTGTTTGAAAGATCCAAATTTTTAATGTGTCAGGACAATTCTTAGCTGATCAGAAGTGACGTGTCAAAGTTTTGGACAGGTTGGCCTATTATCCTTAAAAAAAAGTGTTGTATTCGAATCGACTGATTTGAAGGATGTTTCACTTCACCTTAATCGCCCTTTGGGGCTGCTGAGATAAGGTCTCGTGCGTTATTATCAGTACCTCACATGCGAGGAGTCTCCGGCATGCAGCACAATGGGATTCCATCGAGTAAACTCGTCCCGTCCCACAAGGGAAGTCTCGAAATTTTCAAGGGGTGAGGAACTCCGGGATTATTAATATCCGATCCGCTCGAGAGCCTCAATCGAATTACGGCACGTCGATTTCCGCAGGGAATTAATGTTGCTCCGGATTAAGCGGCCCGATAACGCGCATAACCAAGCGTCGAGATCTCGAAATCGGGCAACGAAGTCGAACAATTCCTCTCACGAGCGTTCCCCTCACCCCCCCTCGGTGTTTCGAGGAACTTGGGATGAACGGGGAATCCTTAAAGCCCTAATCCGCTTGCCAAAGGACACCAATTTCTCCCAGGAATTCTTGGCGAGCCCGACTCGGCAGGGTCCTTCCCGGCTCCCTAATTGGAGGACTTAATTGCCGGCTGTTTCGTAACTTTGGGACAACGCCGGTAATTAACCCGAGGCTGCGCGTCATTTAAATTTCCCCTCACTAGCTAATCATTTCATAAGTACAGACCGCGAAGCTTCCGCCTCCGTCTGCCTCGCCTATTCTCACCTGTTTTCACCTGTTCTCACCTGTGCCCACCTATGCTCAGACCGGAGCAACGCGTCGAGAACCCGATGATAGAGGTCTGGTAATAATAGCGAATTTCACGGTTCGGTTCACTTAGAGTATGTCTTCTAATGCCTTTTATCAACATAAGACGATGCTTTTCTTTTTTACCCTGAAGGAATATTTGTTTTGTACTCGAAGATATTATAATATCCTACAAATTTCTTTAAAACTATGTTTAATTACAACGAATGACGGTGGAATATTTTATTCGATTTATTGATGACAATGGTTTCTTAGATATGAAAATATGTATCATTTTATTGAACTAGGAATAAAAAAAATTATCTTTCCTTTTTTTTTCGAGGAAATTATTTCTTTGAATGGAGACAATGAAATTTCCTTGAAAGAAAGACATTTTTTTGTCTCAAATAGCTTTTCGTAATTTCTTTGATTAATTAATCTGAGAGTAGAAAAATTCGCGTTGCGTTGACAAATGTTAAACTAACTGAAGATTACAATCCGCTATTAGGTAACTACACGAGATCGGGCGTTTAATTTTAATTACCGGCCCTAAAGACCGATTGGGCCAACATTCACTTTAAAATCCTAATCAAGGATTACTTAAGGCATGATTAGAGGTAATCCTCCGATTTCAGGTGGTTACCTAAGAGTGGATTTAAATCATCCGTTAGCTTAACATTAACGGCACAGCGCGAATTCCACTAATCTAAGATTAACCAGAGTTAAGAAATTTTACGTTAATCTCAGTTGGTATAACCAGCTTTAACCGAACACACCATCGCGGTCGTTGTCAAATCTATAAACACGATCATAGTCAAAAACGACGATCCGGGTGTCAACGGAGTTTAGGATAGGTCAGGAGAGGATCCAAAATCCCCACATTATCAGAGGGTCGTCGAATTCCGTAATCGTATCTCGGGTATTAATCCTTAAAAATGGGCGGAAAAAGTGTCGCAAGGGAGGACTCGAGTTTCCCAAGTTTACGAGGCGCGAGAAGGAGGGAAAGAGAGTACGTCCCGCGGGAGCGAGGGAGAAAAAGAGAGCTCACCTGGAAAAATACCGCGGCGGTTTACTTAGTCCTGGGCAGGAGCTCCTAACTCCGTTCCTCGGATTGTGGAAAGTCAAACGAATGGAAACCGGATAATTTATTCCCAGGATGCGGGGGAAGCGCCGGGAAGAATTACACGCGGAGAAGAAATTCCGCCCGACATCCCCGCTGTCGCTTTCCCCTGTATACTCTTTCCCTTCTTTTCCAACTTAATTTCATTCTACCGGTATACCTTTTACCTTGTAATTCTGTACCGCAGCTAATTCATGCTTTTCCCCAGTTCAAGACCCGGGAGCCGAACGGCCTGCTGCTGTACAACGCCGGCAGGGAACGCGACTTCATCGCCGTTGAGCTTGTCAATGGACACATCCACTACGTCTTCGACCTCGGCGACGGTCCCGTCAGGGTGCGAGACAACTCCAGGTCGAAGTTGAACGACGGCCGCTGGCATGCCGTGAACATTGGCAGACCTGCTCCGAAACGACACACCTTGGCAGTCGACGACCACGTGGCAGCTGTCAACAGTCAGGGCAGCAATGAAAACCTCGACCTCGATGGGATCCTCTATATCGGTAGAGGGAATTAAATCGAAAATAAGACCCCGTTGGACCGCCTCTCCTCGGATGAAAATTTTTCATTTTTCATGCCTGCCGAATATATTTATGTATACGGATACAGGGTATCCCAGAACTCAGAGAACGTTGATATTTAATATTAATGATGACTCTTTAAACGATCGTGATTAAATTTAATTTACAACGTTATTAACAATTCAAGCCAATTTTCCTCAATCTTGGGTACGAAATTTCATTCTATGAACTGACGTCGCCGCTATTCAGACATTCGTTTCTCCTATTATTTAAATTTTTCCTTCATGCTAAGCTCGTTATTAAATTATTGCACGTAACGACAATAATCTATATTATGAAATTGGAAGAGGTCTGTTGTCGTCATTACTACCTAATTAAATCGATATTCTTTTAGTAAATGCAGGTGAATCAAATTCGTATAATTGATTTAATTAATTTATAATTCATCAATTCGCTCGGATACCATTATTGAGTTATTCAAATGGTATCATTTAAATTGTTGCCGTTATTTGTAGATAGTTAATTTAATAATGAACCGAGAATATGCGATAAAATGAAATAAAATAAGGAATAAGAATCTGGAGTCCACGCTGAGCGTTGTGCGTTGAAAGTGATCAAGTTCGATCCCACACTTGAGATTAACCAAATTTTAGTCATATACAACTCGGTATATGATCATCGGAGAACAGTAAAGAATCAAAGAGAAGGGTTGCGACTTCAAATTTCATCAGTTTCGGGGATTGTTACGAGTTCTGAGACACTCTGTACAATAGTGAAGCCGCGCCTATTTAGCATTAAAAATGACCGGGCATATGTAGCGAAAATATATGTAGCCTTGAAAACGGGGGATAGGTTAAAGAGAGACGAAGAGAAATCGAATCAAAGGCCAATCGAGGTCGCCGATGGAGTTGTATATACCGATTGCGGTTTTCCTCCGGCTTTTGCGTCGTGCGGCTCGCTCTACGTGCTCGAAAGGGGATAAATCATTGTTTGGACGCCGGCCATGTTTCGGAAACGAGCCTTTCCGTCCTCGTCGCACCCTTAGGCAGCCCTCCATAACTCGGTGCTCGGTGCCGTCCGCCATTCGTGGCCAATGACAGATGAAAATATTGCCCCGGGATCAAACGACCGAGCGACGCCTCGTTTCGCTCCCCAGGAGGGACGTTTCGCCGGGCGGAAAATCCGAAACGCGATTTCCGAAATTATTTTCAACCTCCCCTCCCTTATCGACCGGTTCACATTTAAATTCAAACCGAGGAACTTATCGGAGATAAATTGAAAAACTTGTCCGATCGATCAAAGCAGCAAATATGGCAGAATCGGAGGAAGGGAAGGTCCAATTTTCGGTTCTACTCGCATCCGTTGAAACGAATGGTGCATCTAAACTAGGACTCGCTATGAATTCTAGGTGGCGTGGAAAGAGCTCAGTACGCCCAATTGCCGAAGCATATCCTCAGCAAGGACGGCTTTGAAGGATGTCTTGCATCCTTGGACCTCAGCGGGGAGAGTCCTGACTTGATAGCCGACGCCGTCGTCCCCAGCTCCCTGGTTGAGCCTGGATGCGACGCCTTTGGGAACGTGCATCCTGGGAAGAAGTGCACTCATGACCTGTGTGCTAATCACGGCACCTGTGTGCAGCAGTGGAATAGTTATACTTGCGACTGCGACATGACCAGCTTCAGCGGGCCGACATGTAACGACGGTGCGATGGGAATTTCTTTCTAGGGCGGTTGCGACGCGACATGGGATCGCAATGGTTCGTTCAACTGAATGGTGAATGCATTTTTAGAAGCGACTGCATACGAATTTGGACCTGGCAGGGGCCTCGTCATGTACACCTTCCCTCCGGATCGACGACCTGAGATGAAAAGAGACACCGTGGCCTTAGGATTCGTCACCAGCAACAGCGACGCTGTGCTGCTGCGAGTAGAGTCGGCCTCCAGCAACGACTACCTGGAGATTGAAATTGTTAGTATGAATGTAGACGACGAAAAATTAAAATTTATTTACGAGTTTCTGACGATTCTTGTGGATGGTCGATGCAGGTGGAAGGCAACGTCTTCGCCGTGTACAACATGGGCACCAATGACCACCCCATTGGCGAGGTCGGAGTTAAGGTGAACGACAATCAGTACCACGTCATCAGGTTCACCAGGAGCGGAGCCAATAGCACTCTTCAGGTGGACGACTACAATCTGCAGGCCAACCATCCGTCCGGTGAGTAAAAACTGCCTAACTTTTTTAAGGGGCTGTGAAAGTCGCATCCGAGGGCTTACTCGTTCATTAAACATCTCTCCGATATGGATGTACCGAATAGTCTCAAACTTTACAACGTGAACATCGAGGCTCTAAGAGAAGTCCCGACACCCAGGAAATTTCACTTTTTATCCAAAGTTTTTACAGTATCTATAATCGACATTTTTTTTAATTGAAATTTCATGGGTGTTGGGACCTTCTTTAGTCTCCATATTCGCATTGTAAAGTATGAAATGACTCGGTATACCCAATTCAGTGATAAGTTTCATAGACCAGATATCTTTGACGGCACTTTGACATCACCTTAAGATTTTCCTCCGCCGGAGTAAGATTGAAGTTTACTTGAGAATATGGCGGGGTACGAGCCATTTTGAATTCTCCTCGTCGTGGCTGCAGAAGGCTGTTGATGGTTCGAGGACTCCCATCCATTGGTCGGCCCAAAGGACCTCATGAAAAAGGGCGTAGCTGACCAGGAGATTGTTGGACCCTTACTTCGGTTCCCTCCCCCAAGCTAGGCGGCCCTTTGGACTCTTTTTGCAGATCAAAGAAGTGTCCGCATTTCCCACGATTTCGCGACATAGTTTCTCGCGAAGTCAGGGCAATTTTCCAGAAGTCCTTGCGAGGATCTGATCGAAACTTTGACGAGTTGACGTTGGGCAAAGAGTCTTTATTGACCAAGAAAATGTAACAGAGTGGTAAATCGATGGACAAGATGTTTAGTAATAATTTTCTGTCCGCGGATTATCCTATTCCAAGAAAAGCTGTAAGACTGGAGAATCCAAGATGGCGGCCAGGGACTGTTGGCCGAGGAGGGGAAGAGGGACCCTGGAGGCCCATAAAACCCGAAACGCCTTCTCAGAGGGGGGTGAACCTTTCGAAATCTTGAAGTTAGTACCTTCTCCTGGGTCCTATGTCCCTGCTTTCGAAAACTCCGTTAATTGGTTTCACTTCTTTTTTTATCCCAAAAGGGGAAGGAAAGAAGGACCCCGGTCGCATCACTTCCAGCCACGTTCTGACGCTCTGTCATTTGCGTCGCAGTAAATTGGATTATCCTTTGTTAATTTTAATGGCCCATTCAGGGATTAACGACGCCATTTTAGGTCTAGCACCCTGAAAATGGTCCCTCCATAGCGATTCTAGTCCCTTGGTAAGTGTCCTTCGGTTTCTTCCATTTTTTTCTTCCTTTTTTTTTTCTTCCCTACGTTTTCCCGAAACCCTTTCGACCTAACCTCGGAAAAGTCGCCTCCTACGAGCCGGATTGACAAAACCGCAGATTCGTAACGATCTTGAATAGAAATAGTCCGTTTACACCCTCGAGTTCCTGGGGCCCGTTTCGAGGGGCAAACGGATGGTTACCGAACCGTGAAATAGATGCCTAGAGGAGAGATATACTACGAAAGGTTTCCTTCCGACCTAAACCTACGATCCTGGTAGTTGCCGGCCTTGGAAAAACTTTCCCTTTTCAAGAGACCTTGGAATTCCTTGTTTCCTGAGGGTAACGATCCCTGAGCCGGGAAATAGACATCCAAAGGCGAAGGACACCTTACGAGTTACCTTTCGACGTAAACCTACGATCCTGGTAACTGTTGCCCTTGGAAAAGCTTTCCCTTTTCGAGGATGTCCCGAGCTCGTCGAATCGATTCTTCGGAGTTTTGTATTGAGACCTATAACTCCAGCCTAATAAATCATTTCAAATGTCAGTGCCAAACCGCTAAGGATTCCTTCCAGGTAGGAATTTCCCGAAATCCTAAGCACCTCCTTGCTAACCCTGTAGTCCTGACTTTCGTCCGGGCGATAATTGGTTTTTCCTTTTGTCAGGACTCCCTCACAATTTTCCGAAGGTAGTCTGCAAAGCCTCTCTGATCCTCTAACTTCCTGGTCTGCAGAATGCAAGGTTTGTAAACAAACGGCCTATAATCCTTTGAAGAGATTTTCCAGGACCCATGGAAATTTCATACATCCTAACCTCCTGTGAAGTGTCCTTCGCGATTAGAAAAGTCATATTTCCGTGGACTCTGTAACTGGGGACAGAGACGTAATAAACGATAATTGGTTTTTCCTTTTGTCAGGACACCCTCCCAATTTCCCGAAAGTAGTCTACAAAGCCTCTCTGATCCTCTAACTTCCTGATCTGCAGAATGCAAGGTTTGTAAACAAACGGCCTATAATCCTTTGAAGAGATTTTCCAGGACCCATGGAAATTTCATACATCCTAACATCCTGTGAAGTGTCCTTCGCGATTTGAAAAGTCACATTTCATGGACTCTGTAACTGGGGACAGAGACGTAATAAATGATAATTGGTTTTTCCTCTTGTCAGGACACCCTCAAAATTTTCCGAAGGTAGTCTGCAAAGCCTCTCTGATCCTCTAACTTCCTGGTCTGCAGAATGCAAGGTTTGTAAACAAACGGCCTATAATTCTTAGAAGAGATTTTCCAGGACCCATGGAAATTTCATACATCCTAACCTCCTGTGAAGTGTCCTTCGCGATTTGAAAGGTCACATTTCATGGACTCTGTAACTTGGGACAGAGACGTAATAAACGATAATTGGGGTTTTCCTTTTGTCAGGACACCCTCCCAATTTTCCGACCACGCCTTGCAAAACCTCCCTCAGGATCCTCTACCTTCCTGATCTGCGGAATGCCCAGTTTGTAAACAGGCGATCCATAATTCATTGAACAGATTTTCCAGGATCGACGAAAATGTCCCCTCGCATTCTAGCCCCCTGGGAAGGGTCCTTTGAGATTACAAAAGAAAGTCACGTTCCTGTGTACCCTATAACTGAGGAGGGAAACGCAATAAAGGATTATTGGCCTTTTCCTTTTGTCAAGACCCTCCCCCAATTTTCCGCCCACGCCTGCAAAGTCTCCCTTGCGTCCCTCTACCTTCCTGATCTGTAGAATGCGCAGTTTGTAAACAACCGACCAATAATCCTTTTAACCGATTTTCCAGGATCGGCGAAAATGCCCTCTCGCGTTCTAGCCTCCTGTGAAGTGTCCTTCGAAATGAAGAAAAGTCATTTTCCGGTGTTAACTATACCTGCGTATGGAAATGCATCGTGTAGACCTTTGGCCCGATTTTCCAGGATCGGCGAAAATGTCCTTCCGAGTCCTAGCCTCCTGTGAAGTGTCCTTCGAAATGAAGAAAAGTCATTTTCCGGTGTTAACTATATCTGCGTATGGAAATGCATCGTGTAGTCCTTTGACCCGATTTTCCAGGATCGGCGAAAATGTCCTCCCGAGTCCTAGCCTCCTGTGAGATGTCCTTCGAAATTGAAAAGGAAACGTCAAACTCCCCCGTATAAGTAATGCCCTACTGTGCATAGAAATACAACGTTTCGCCCTTTGAGGAAATTTCCCAGGATCGGCGAAAACGTCCTAGTGCATCCTAGCCCCCTGTGAGGTGTCCTTCGAAATGAGAAAAAGTCATTTTCCGTGCAAACAATCATTCGATACGACAATGCGATCCTCCTTTGATCAGTTCGATCACGAAAAATATCCTCGGAGGTCCTACCCCCCTAATGAGGTGTCCTTTAAACCATGAAAAATCGTCAAGCTTCCCCATGTCGCCTAACTTCCCTCAGTCCCTTCGAAGGATCTTCCTAGACCCCGAAACCAGTATTCGGCACCACCGTGGAAGCGATCCTGGCGACCCCGGGATTTTTTCTACCCTCCTGGTAATTCCAGGACATCCTTCGCCAGAGGTCCTAGGCGCAGGTCAAAGAGAGTCCCGAGTGGAGAGCCCCTCCCAGGGTCAGTCGCAGACGGGATCGTCCTTGCCACTTTCGATTTCCTCTGCACTCCTAATATCCGCAGGACCTCTTCGAGCGGGTGTCCTCGGCCGCGCAGGTGCGTCCTAATCAGCTGGGCGATCCTGATCCGAGAACACGGATGACTTTTTCTGGCCGATACCTTCGCCCTTGGCTAATTCCCTAATACACTCCGAGACGCTAATCCGCCCCATTAGGCATTATTAGAACCGCGACAATGGATCGACCAGGCACTTGGAATGTCCTGCCGAAACCAGCTGAGATCCTGGTAGAGGGGAATTAGGAGCTCCAAGGAACGACCTGGCTCGGATGTCGACCGAAGGGAGGACCTTAAGGTCCTTCTGCCGGGCACCTCCTGTCTCTTCCTGGCGTCCTCGTTGCCATGGCAAAGCCCATGACGCTTCGCCCGTTCCTCCCATAGCAACGGGACGCCCTTTTCACCATTTCCACCCTTCTCGTCCTCGAAGGGCGCGCTACGGATAAATAATTCAACGGGCGCGTTTTACGCAGCCGGATCGATTCCGCGTCCTGACCAACGGACCAGGGCCATTCGGTGCAAATTATGCGATCAAATTTACATGTCCACTCGCGGGATGCGATGGGACATTTTACGAAATTCACGCAGGCCCCGTGGATCTTTGGGAGAAATTGTTAAGTGATGTATCGGAAAAGGTTTTAATCCTTCAGCCATACATGTTTGAATGGTAAAAAGAAACTGATAGTGGCTTGATTTAATACATTGTCGCTCGTAATATGTAATATCTCATATTGCTATATATACGGCGAAAGCGAGTCTAACTGCTAATAGAATGTCGCAAGAATTGAAGAATTAATCGGTAATTGAATTTCTCACGCTTGGAGAAAGTATTGACGTTTTGAAAAAAGTGTATTTAAAATATTTATGCACTTTCGCGTTAACCATGTGTATATTGAATATAATGAATATGTTATTATATATCGTATAGAAATACGACGTTTCATCCTTTGAGGAAATTTCCCAGGATCGGCGAAAACGTCCTAGTGCATCCTAG